GCCTAAAGCTTAACCTTATAGGCCGCAGTCATCCCGGTAGACATTATCTTACTTCCTTGAAATACAAATGCCAGATAAGTGTTGATGACATGATATGACTGTCCATAAAGCGAGCTGCCAAACTAGGCTAGCCCGATTCCAATTTTAACAACAGAGGGCACTCAATCTGATGAGCTTACGGGTATACGGCATCGCTTACACGGGAATTGCAGATCCCCCATTACTGATCTGGTCCTCTATTTCTCACCCCCGGAATTCGTAAAGTACCAAAGTCTCCAAAGTCTCCAAATTCTTTTACTCTTCGCTGTTGGGCTCTCTTTACATGACTTAGCGTTTACCAGTATGTCTGCCATGCAAGACGAAGCTTTCTCCGTCTACGGACTCTGGCCAAAGCGCCTGATGATAGTATCGGTATCGCTATTCGCCCTCCTCGGTACCATGGCCACTAGCATGTACTATCCTGCACTTCCGACAGTAGCTAGCGATCTTGGCGTATCTATCATGGACGTCAACCTATCAGTAACAACATTCATGGTAAGACGACCTCAGGGTTACATGCCACGAACGCTCATGTAGATCCAGATTCTCCAAGGCATCGCCACCCCGTTCGTCGGCAGTTTCTCAGACTCTAGTGGTCGTCGCCTCGCGTACGTCGCGTGTTTTTCGATCTTCCTTATCGCCAACATTGCTCTGGCGCTACAGAACACTTACACCGGACTACTGGTGCTACGGTGTGTCCAGAGCACGGGCGCCGGTGGATTGATTCCTCTCGCCAGCGGTGTCATAGCAGATATTGTCGAGCCGGCTGAGCGGGGGTCCTATATGGCCTGGGCTACGGTTGCTCCTGTTCTTGGACCTGCCTTGGCACCTGTGCTAGGCGGCGCCTTGACTCGGTATCTTGGGTGGCATTCCATCTTTTGGTTCCTGGCTATTGCATGCATCGTTCTGGGCATTTCATTTCTCTTCTTCTTTCCCGAGACCAACCGTAAGCTTGTTGGCAACGGATCACTTGTGCCACCAAGTCTCAGTCAACCCTTGTACTTCTTCTTCATGCAGAGGAACAAACAGCAGCAGGGCGATGCGATGGAGCGGAAGCCCATGTCTTTCCCTAATCCATTCGCGATCTTGAAGGTGGTGCTGGACAAGGAGGGGGCGGTGGTCCTTGCGGACAACGGCGTCATCAACATCCTAATTGCTGGAGTCAACACTGGGCTTCCGCCGCTTATGACGAAACTCTATGGTCTCTCGGAGGTGCAAAAATCCCTCTGTTTCTTGGCCTTTGGCATCGGTAGCGCTATCTGCACCGTCATCACGGGCCGTCTCATGGACAGAGCCTACGGAAGGACGGCTGCGAAGTATAATATCCCGCTCAAGCTCGCCCGTCGCGACCTAAGAATGCCTGTAGAGCACGCACGCTTACAGGTAACATGGCCACACATTGTCGCCGCTATCGCTGGTCTTCTTGGGTACGGTTGGACTTTGAACAGGCCTACCCATCTCGCCGGGCCTATGGTCTTCCTGTTTGTCATTGGCTACACCACTACCGCTGTGGCACAAGCTCTCAACGCTCTTATGGTCGATCTCTTTCCTCGGGATGCGGCTACCGCCAGTGCAGCTAACAACTTGATACGCTGTGGCCTGGGAGCTGCCATAACTGCTGCCATCCAACCGATGACCGACGCCGTTGACCCTGGCTGGGCATACACTATCTGTGCGGGCTTTCTCTTAACTATTGTTCCCTTTTTCATTGCATTGACTCGTTTTGGACCCGGATGGCGGGCGGGCCGCGCTAAACAAGACACGAGAGACCAGGAAGAGGGAGGGAATATTGTGCAAGTTATAGCAAGTAGAGAGGCGAAGGCATCTTGAGCCTGATCGGTATAGTTTAGGAGGCTCGCCACAGCACATAAGAGGTGAAGTGGGGAGGGGGACGGAGTCTTGATTGAATATCGCCTCATTTGTTGCTCATTTCATAGGTGCTCGACAAAAAGGAGGTATGAGTTCACTGTCGTCTAGAAACCGAAATACAAGAGATCACAAAGCATTATACATCTTACCGGTGACAAATTTTACGTTCAAAAGGATGTGTAGCATGGAGGAAGATCACCTCGAATGCCCTCACCACCTCAATCTGGTCCAGCCTTTCTGGTCATCACACTCCGTATTTGTAGGGTCCATTTTCTGGCTAATAAATTCAAGGCACAATTGATATAAATCTAATTGTCTTTATTGCTGCAGTCTCGAAGGAATATCCAATTGTTACTCTTATATAGTCAACTCATCTATCAAGCTGTATCCGTACAAACCTCGGTTCCCTAGCCCCGTGGTCATAGCACAAAGCGCGTATCCTATTGGTTGTCACAGCCTCGGCTAACCCTCTAGATCCACTTCCGCTACCCTACAAATGAATCTTTCTAGCATAGCTGTTTGTGGCTCATCCCATCTCTATTCTATCTCCGAAGCACCTTTCAGAATGAGTACCACGGAGATCGTGACAGTGTCCAGCCGAATTGAGTCCCATGAACTGCATACCTGGCCAGCCCCCGTATCGCAAACACCAGTATCTCAACCCGCCACTAGAACGCCAATCCGCAGCTCCGAGCTCGACCATGAAGCAGTAGCTGATAATGAGCACGAGGTATCACAACTGGCTCCCGTAGATGGAGGGATTGCAGCATGGCGACTCCTCGGCGCAGCGTTTGTATTTGAGACTCTGCTATGGGGTACATTTCTGTCTCCTCACGTAATTGCCGCCATTGACCCTGCGTAGGGTTTCCCTTATCTTTTGGTGTGTTCCAGGACTACTACTCGAGAATCCCTGCTTTTTCGAGTAGTCCATACATCGGTGTCATCGGCACAATAGCCTCTGGTCTCGGCTATATAGGAGCCCCCTTCATTATGCCTTTCATCCAGAAACACCAACGGTGGCGACGGCAGATGATCTGGGTTGGCTGTATGTCAATTACCTTTACGCTCGCTCCTTGACTAACGCGTTTCACTGAACAGGGCCCATTTGTATTGGTGGACTTGTGGCTGGCTCTTTTGCCAATACTCTCGGGACTCTGATCCTCACTCAAGGTGTCGCCTACGGTATCGGGTTCCTGATCCTTTACTATCCTATCCTCATGATGGTCAATGAGTACTGGATTGCTCGTCGCGGGATGGCTTACGGCTTGCTTTGTGGTGCGTCTGGAGTTTCCGGCGCTGTAATGCCATTTGTTGTACAGGCTCTTCTCTCAACTTATGGCTATCGGACGACGCTCCGTGCTGTTGCCGTTGGCCTAGCCGTTCTAACGGGACCTCTCATCCCGTTCCTTGACGGGCGATTACCGCCTTCCGCGCACATCAACACCCCCAAGACGAATTGGTCTTTCTTCAAGAGTCCTCTTTTCTGGCTATACTCTATATCCAACTTATTCCAGGGATTTGGGTACTTTTTCCCGTCATTATACCTCCCATCTTTCGCGACGTCGCTTGATCTCGGTGCAAGATCTGGGCCTATACTCCTCGCCGTCATGAGCGTATCCCAGGTTGCAGGGCAGTTTGTCTTCGGATATCTCTCAGACCGTAAGCTACCACTCGATATACTTGCTTGTTCCTCAACCCTTGTTGCCGCCGTGACGTCCCTCACTATGTGGAGGCTGGCAGATTCTTTTCCAGTCCTCATCGGCTTCACTATTCTGTATGGCTTCTTCGGGGCGGGCTTCACTGCTATCTGGGCAAGAATGAGCACGACTATTGCGGACGACGCGACAGCCGGGCCGATTGTCTTTGGCCTGCTCAACTTTGGCAAAGGTGTTGGCAATGTGCTCGCGGGCCCCATCGGCGGTCTGCTGGTTTATAACAACAGTGCCCTACAACACTCGTCTACTGCTGAGTCTTTGATTCCGTCATCGTATCACTGGGTTATAATCTTTACTGGGTGTTGCATGTTTGCGAGCACGTCTACTATACTCTTGCGACATGTAAGGCGTCTTTTGGGAGCAATGGTTTTGCTTGCCACCAAACATATTGGAAACCACTTCCACAGCTGAACGGCCTTTTCATTCGTCTCAGATTACCCTATGTGATCGGACAAGAAACGATTAGCTCATTTGAGCGCTATGCAACGCTAATCTAGGATATTTATAGTATCAGGACCATTTGATGAAACTGAAAGTATAAAGTCGAAGGTTCTCTGTCCTGAGGACTATGAGCTATGCTCATGATGAAGCACCCCATACATGTACTACAGTTCTTAATATCTGAGTAAAAGGTTGCGAGTTAACTCATGGTGAGCACTTCGGAACAGTGTTCGAGGCCTTGTTCAGTACAATCTGACCGAGAACGAGGCTAATATGGAACCACGTATTTAAGCATACCTGCAAAATCAATAGAACAGCATATGGATTCAATTTCGAGTACTGAATTAAGAACAAATGATATCTCGCAAGGAAATTCGCGTCGATCTTCCATTGCTCTTATGTTCGCCTGTACTCCTATGTTCGTCTCATTATTGTTCATTAGTCCACATAATGGTGAACGCCGATCCGAAATGCCTCAATGATATTGTCAGAACGCCAACCACGAAATTAACTGGCCACAATTCTCAGTATAAGAGCCCTTATAGTCGCAATAGAAGAAGATATCTTCTCAACTCTCAATCTAGTACATCAAGTGCCTTCTTCACCCATTTCCCAGTCACTCCATCCACCACTACCCAAACAACCGACATCAGACCGAAGAAATGGAGCCTTCCGACAACACGCGTGGTACAGAAAATCGCAGTTATCTTGGGCGAGTTAATGACGGCCTCGATGAAATCCTTCGGCTCGATGATGTTTGGGAAGCCGCATGGGAAGAACCCATTGGGGACGAGGATGGAATGATACTTGTTGATGCTAAGCAGTATGCCGCCTTTCTTAAATGGCAGGCTGGGAATCTCGAAGGTGAGTCTACTAACGCCCCACTTGAGCCCAAAGGTAAGTCCATGGAAATCTCCGAGAAGAAGGAGAATACCGACCCAAACCAGCATGAGAAGAGAGCAAGCAACGTGCAGTCACTCCAGCATAATGCTGAGGACCGACGTCTACCTGTATGTAGTGATTCAACGAGTGGTGACGAAGCCCAAGCATGGTGCGACAGCTTTGAAAAGAAAATGAACAAAATGGGCATCCGGCGTCAGTTTCGAGACATTCTCAAACTCTTAGAACTGTCACAGCTCATAGATAATGATATGCGGCTCTTGGAATTGGTCAAAAAGAAAAATGACGAGGAAAGGCAGAAGAGCCCTAACAACATCACAAACTAAAAGGCTACAGTCTGTGGGTAGAAGAGCTTCTTCAGACGATTCGAGGTGTACACTCTGGCTACGGGGTGCACAACTGGGACTGGACGGGAAATTGGTATGGGGTAAGTTAGGAGGCCTTTTGTGTTTTGCTTTAATTCCTGTTACTTGGATCAAATTGATATTGTACAGAATGATATAATAGTGCTGTGGTAAAACTTTGCTTAAGTATTTAAATCGCCGTGGTAAGCGTTTCGAAGTTGCCTGACAGACGATGGGATACTGGAGGTCTGGTAGCTTCTACACTAACGAAGACTGAAACTGCATAGCTAACAAGCAGTTAGCCAAGTAGTTGGCCTTAACGATAGTTCTTTTAACCAATGGTCTAGATCTTCGTCCCAGAGCCAATCTACAAAGAAATGTCCTGCTTCGAGGGTCTCTGAGACATTGTGATCCTGAGTATCTCTAGTCCACACTTGTCATCCCGTCAGCGGAAGATATCAGACCCAAATATCCAACTCAAGATCTGGAATGTCTATTGCGATCAAAATGAGCAGATCGCCGTTATCGAGGTACTTAAAGCTTATGGCGTATCAACGAGACTTATCAAGCCAACACACTGAAGAATACCAATCAACTTCGGCTTTTGGAATCTTACAACCTCTTGATATGGTATCGTTCTGCAGAGGTAGTGTCATTGTCCTCCCAGGTGTCGCAGAACGCATCGCTGTCATCCTCTCCCTCCAGGAACGCCTGAGTCAACATATTTACAAGTTCAGATCAGCCAACCTGGATGTCTTAGATATAATTGGCCACTGGACACATCACGTCTGTTGCATGTATAATACATAACAACAGGTTCTTTTGAGACCAACGGGGCATTTCGGAAGACCACGGGAACGTAAGAAGCACAATGCATCTAAGACTTCGGAACAAAATGCGGATAGGCTCATTCTTCCACCCTTCTCCATGTTGATTCCCATTTCTGATGCCCTAAATAGCAGGGAGAAACCAACAGAAGACAGCTGGGTGTAAGGACGCGCGACAGTGGCTGTTGTTCACGTACGTATATTGCACTGTGTCTAACTACGTATCGCTTAGAACTTGCGCCTCTACCATCTCGGTCTGCAGAGTCTTTATTGCAGTAGGCTCTGAGGGGTGATTCCTTGCATACGCGGCAGTTCTCATCGTGTGGATGTCGAAAGTCATGAAGACAGCAAGTCACGCTCTCATTGGTGGAGTGGCTGGCGATATGTGAGACTTGAATATTTGAGGCCCGACAGCTGAAAACCCTATTACTCCATTCGGAGCTGTGCATGATGGCGGTCAAGAGAAGAAGTGAGACACAGAGAGTAGGTCATCTGAGAAATGAGCAAGATTTGAATACAGAACCCTAGACAGCGACAAGTCCTGCGATATAATGCGTCAGAATCTTTCCTATGCTATTTTAACTAGTGACTGGCTCCAGTCGAAAAATATGACATGTCATAGAAAGGATATAAACTAGGGACGAAAGTCGAGATCCAGGCCGTGTCTCATCGTGCCGTGTCTCGGGGCGCGACGAGCGTAGCTCCGATCTAGATAGTGCAATGTGAAAATGCATCTTTCCATCAAATCTCTGCTCGTCATGGATTTCCACAAGATATCTCTTGGGCTGCATCTCTCGTTCTGATCGGCTACAGCTAGAACCTGCCGAGGCGATGCACTCGTATCTGCAAGATGTATCCACCGCATGAGACACTCTTGTATCATACTCGGATATTTCCATGATATCATTACACTTTCAGCTGAGATAAGATATGCCCTTGCGGTAAAAGCCCGAATATGGTGGGTGATAGGGCCTATATCAGGCCGTCACGGAGTATATATAAAGGTTGGACTGTCCATGTTATCTGACTTCAAAAGATATCTTCCTTCAAACTCCGAAACCACTTCAAGCAAGCTACAACCGTATAAACAGAGAACATGAGTGCACAAGGTATGTGAATCATTACAAAGTCCCTAACCTCTTAGATACTTACCTCTTCAATTAGGTCAAGTCCGAGACACCAAGCACGGTAGCATTGGTGAAGTCGAAGCCGGAAAAGGCATCATCACCAGATATGCTGATGGCCGACCGACACACTTCACCTTCAAGACAAATTTCGATCGCCCTCCAAGGGTTCAGATCACGCCAGTCTTTATTGATCCAAAGTCAGCCTTTAAGCAGTTCTGGATCTATCACTTTGCTCCACCTGGAGACCAGGCTGTCCACGAGAGTGGTTTTTACCTGGGATGTTGCGGTGAGACGGGGATGAATATCCACTTTGAGTACCTTGCTACTGCCATCTACACTGTTGGGGACGATTGAGAGGGTAATGATACCATGGAAGGATAGGGGGTAATGAGCGTTGTAAAGGTGGCAAGGGGTAGTATGAGTCTCATCTTTGTTACTTATGAGTCAAGCTTGAATGTGAAAAGAATGAGAATTTGATAAATACCTCTCGGTTGAGCCTTCTAACAGGTTACTGATTGTATGCTACAGCACTTAAAGGACAATCGGATAAGGGTCCCAACATAATACCAAGCATCAATTAGCAATCAGAATGGCAAGTAATTACTGTTATCATTGATCATCGTGGCCCGTACATACTGTGATCGTAAGGGTATATATTCATGCTCCTGACAGTCAGGAAGCACGAGAAATTATAACTAGACCGTAAATATCAAAAGTATCACGGAAATGTAAGATAAGCAATATTTGGGATGAGATAAATTGAACTATATATTCAATTGCATTGGGTTGAGTATTTACTAGCTATAGCATCTCTACGCCTTGAAGCGTCATTCCAACTTGATCTTGCAAATATAAGTCGCAACCTCATCGACAGCTTCTCCATCAGGTTCCTTCTTTAACTCGACCTCCTTCTCTTCAGGCCCCTCAGCCAATGCAGATCATTCGGAAGTACGGGTTGACTCCCGCAGATACTCAGGAATTCTAGGCAGGTTGAACTGGAAGAAGTCAAAATAGCTCCCCAGTGCTTCGCGTTGAAGCAGGGGATCCTGCATGACGGACAAGTAAGACGCCACCTTCATGCCGGGCTTCAAGAAACGGGCTTGTTCAACCCAGCTCTCAGCATCTTCCTCGGCGAAACGGAAGGCGTCGGGAAAGTCAGGAGAGGACAGAATGTCCTCGATAACGACGATGGCCAGGCCGATTCCCCAAAGCTTCTGATCAACCGACCAGCCGTTGGAAGACTCCAGTTCGCAGTCAAATCCCTTAAGCTCGTCGAGGGCTTTCTGAAGGCCTTGGACTTTTTCTTCGTCTGTGAAGGAGTCACGACTGACGTCCCAGAGGATGGGGTAGCACACCCGATACCCGTGCAGGACGTGAATAAAAGCAAGACTGTCGAGAGAGTGCTTGGCAGTTATTTGCTCTACATGTGTGGCGTTAGTGGAGTCCATGATGAGTGTTCGCTTTTCTAAGGGATAAGCTGTTGAGGGATTGACGGTTATGCGTTAGCTTTTATATGTGTTTATTCGTTAGTTGTGAGGTGATCGACGATGGAATTGTTGATAGGAGGCAACAGTGTCACATTATATAGTAATCCTGTCGCCTCGAGCAATTGAGTGATATCGCGTGTTCATGCTTACTAAACGACGATGTACCAATGGACTTACTGTTTGCCAGCAAATGAAGCCGCAATGTACAGTACGAGAGGCGGTCACTACCTTTGTTCACATTTACTGTTCTCTTTGTCCCTATTACGGAACATCATATCCAGATGCTGCAGGCTTTGGGAGAATAATGATCAAGATCATATCCGTGTGTTTTGAACAACGCTATTAAACCTTTTCTGTTCCTTTGTTCCGTTAGGTGTTTCATGTACCATCTCCCTGGGCTCTTTATGGACAACGGTCTGCCTTATCGTATGAGGCTCACGAGGAGAGATTTTGCGCTAACTGAAGTCCCTATCCTGAAGCAAATTGCACAGAAGAACGCTACTGCCGCGGATAATTCCCCGAGCCCGAGCAGCCCTTTTTGCAACCATCGCGAGACGGTGAGGATTGCGGTCGAGATGAGGAGGTCGAAGTTGCCCACGCGTCTTCTTGCCCTCTTGAACAACTCAACGTTATCAATAACATTTTTGCGCCCCTAAAGAACAATAAGGCCGATATCCTTGTACCCTCGGACAATGATGACAATGTCGGCGAAGGTGATAAAGATGTTAAGGTTAGTTTTAGTCTTACGACTTCGCGTACCTAGCACATGATCATAGTGATAACATGGAGTACACCGATAAAGATATCAACGATACTCTTAATAATGGAAAAGTCGTCAACGGCGGAGTCCTTACTGGTATTCGAAAGGGCGAGTGGCTTCATTAAGAATCGCTCAGCTACTCGACTTGCGACAAATTGATGACTACCAAGATAAGATAGAGTTACCCAAGAGTGGAGTATTAGTATATCATTAAGTGACGGCATGTTTCCCTAATAGACTTTACACTATACTATACGCGTGGTGTGCTTTGGGTGACCATTGCCGATTAGCCGTCCAATGACATAGTGCTCGTCATAACCACCATATCCACGTCATTGCTGACTGTCCCCAGCTGAAACATTCTTAAACACAGTATCCAGGGTTATCTATTCAAACTTCACAGACGTTCTTCATCCTCATTTACTTTTAACCAGCACGAGACCTCGCAATTAACAAAGCTCCTTTTTAGAAGGATAGGAACTCAGCAAAAGCCACAATGCCCGAGACAAAAGACCAAGGAGTAGGTATTTCCTGTATCTTCTGTGATTTGCAGTCGCCTTACTTATTACTTGCAGGAAAAGAAGGATCAATCAGCGCCACCACCTCAGCCCAAAGAATCGCATGAACATGAGGAGGTTTGTCTGTTATCCGATGCGTGTGCTCAAAGCACAGCTAATTGTCAGCAGCATCATCACGGTAAAGACTTTGCAAAACGGGCCGGCCACGCAATCACTTTTGGTGCAGGTGCCACGATTGGATCAGACGCTGTAAATGGGATCATCAAAAACCTGTGATCGCAGGGACTTTGGTTATGTTGTTCAATATCCGCCCGTTACGGTAGTCTGAGTATGTTCAAGCGCCATGAACTTGCAATAACGGATTAAAATCCAGATAGTCATAGTAGAGATAACCAAAAAATCTACCAACACCAATTGTCGCTGAATAGGGTGTGTATTCTGTTTTTCAATACTTGATAACTACGGCGACAGTGGTATCTCATCCACGCTTCTCAAGATCCGGCTAGACTCCGTCATAGCCTTCTTCTTTTTCGCCCTCCTTCCATTCTCAAACCCTTCTCCCAAACTTATCGCAGCTCGCCTTGGTCTCGCAACACCAACCCCCGAAACCCCGGTCATCTCAACGTCAGCTGCCCACTGCGCAACCTCTTCCTCCTCCGCCTTGATCTCTTGGTCCAACGTCCTTTCACAATGCGAGCCAAATGCGAATATGCGCCCGAATGACGTGGGAAACACTTTGTGCAGAAAGAGTCGAACTGTTGGTAAGCAGGGCGCTGCGATACTGACAGAGCTTTCTATTCCTGCCCATACCATCAGGTCCATGTAGTCCCAGGTTATGTTGTTGGAGTTGCCGTAGAGAACGTTGTAACGCATTTTGAGACAGCTTGCGACGAGGACGACCACTCCGAGACTGAACATCAAGACAATGCCGAGCTTTCGATGAAAGGTTGATTTCGCTGCGAATGTGAGCTTATGACTTCTCAAGTTTTGGCTGCACATACTTTTCCATATGAGCGGTATTGGGAGCACCAGTACAACGATATCAAAGACGATGTTGGTGATGTTGATTGACCACTGCAATTTGTTCAAGTCCATGCACCAAAATTCCACATCCTCCCCACCAAATCGATCCCAGTTCCATCGTATCGGCGTGCATTGGAAGATGTTCAGGGACATCAGAATGCCTGTGCTGAGACTCATGATGAGAATACAAGCCCAACATAGTTGGCAGAATAGCGTGTAGACGTGGCACAGACGGATGTAGAAGAGTATTATTGTGACTTTTGTCATTCCCAGAAGGAGAGTGTAGACAGGACAGTCGATCCAGAACAGCTTGTGAAGTCAGCTTCAAAAAGGTGCGATAAACAGACGTGGTAAAATACCTTGAGCGCATGGGATAGATCATCGGCGTTAACCCACCAAATATCCTGCCCAAATGCCGACATCAACGCTGCATTGCATCAGCCAGTTTCACAGCGTATCGGAGTAGCTTATTGAGCCCTTACCATGGTGTCCAATACCAAAGTACACAATATAAATAACCAGAGAAGTGAGCGAAAGCCAATCTTCAGGTGAAATCTTCCTGACGATAAACAGTTTTGTGTACACTCGAATAACTGCGCAAAGGATGCAAAGAATGTGGATCGAAAGATAAGGCCAGGCATCATTCCTTCGATCGCGTCGTGGTCGCTCGCATGTTTCGTCGAGATATCGCAACGAAGCTTGGACCGTCAGCCGATGATGACCAGGATGCGAATCGGGGTTTACGTACCGAAGACTTTTGGAATCTGGCAATGGCTCTTGAGGCAGGGTATCAAGTCATTCTGAAAAGTAGTCGAGGTACAAAAGCAACTCGGCTTATCGCAGTCCCGGCTCATCAACGTGCGAAAACATATTTGCTACCAAGATCAGCAAGAATCACCAGGAAGTCAACTGTTCACGAACCGCGCAATCTGGGAGACTCTTGTCGCCGTTCACGCCCCTAAACGCAATCAAACTAAATAGCGCAGTTAGAACGCCCGCCCTCATCGCAAGAGGCGCATCTCAATACCGACATGTAGTTGAAGAGAACAGGGTAGTTCACAGAGACCAGGTCAGGGAACGAGGACACAAAAAGGGGACAGAGGCGATGCAGATCGGTTTAGTGGGACAATCGTAGCGCATGTGATGGAACCGATGCTTCGGCAGTGGATTTTCCAGGGTGTCGATCTGGTCAAGCGTCTTTGCTAGCCGGTATCCGAGGATGAATAAATGTCTGAGCGTATCCGAAACAGAATCGCTATTGGAGCTGCCAATCCGAAAGGGTTCAACTACGACTGTTGGCTCAGGAACAGTTTCTCACGAGTGATTCGTTTCATTAGTTGCGATTGGTCGAGAAAGTTGCATTGCCGATGAAACATGAGTCGTGGCGTGGCTTGAATTTGCACTTGGATCGCTAGACCTGCGCTAATAGAATGGTTCGAGTCATGACGATGATACTTCACGTGGGAAATGCTATGAAGCACAAATCATGTGCGTCATTGCGGAGAAATGTTATTGAGTAAAAGAATATCCAATCTTGGTTAACTCTGTATTTAAATAAAACAATCCTTATCACGTCCTCAAGCCATCGTTTCGGATCTAAGCGATCGGTTACACCTTACTCCTCTAAAAGGTTCTGCTCTGCTGCCTCCATTTCCGTCTTGGCTCTACCCATCGCCATCGATGTTTCGCTTACCCTATCGCGCGCGCCTTTCAAATCACTACCAAGCTCTACAAGTCGTAGAGATTGCGGGTTCCTAGCCTTCTCATCCTGGTAGTTATCAAACACCAGATGCAATTCGGTGAAGGCGTGGCCCAAGTCAAGTTCCTTTTGTAGCACAGCAGCCTTGAGCTCCAGGTGCGTGGACTTGCGTCTTTCGGTAGAAAGGGCCATCTTATCAAGCAACCCTTCCAAGAGTTTGGCCAAGTGTTGATCCTTGTTTCCACTGTCGTTAACAACCTCCAATTCCTTCACCTTCTCTCGTAGAAAGTTGAGTTCTTTTACGTTTTCACGGACTGCCCCGCGATATCGTTCTAGCCCCTTGCTCCTTGTCAACTCGCTATTGTGAGACCTTTTGAGGTCTTCGAAACGTGACATCTGGAGTCGGATTTCACAAATCTCTTTCGACCGGAGTTTCTCTTTGAGTTGCAAAATCTGCTTTCGCAACTCAGTTACAGTCCTGTCTTCAGCAGTGTCTTCCAACTCTTCTGGGGTCTTGACAGAAGGCCGTTCGTCAATCGGCAAAGTGTTTCCATCTCGGTCCATATAGGGTATTGCTTCCTTGCAAATTGGTCGCCAAGCTAAGACTTCGTAGCCTGCTGCCTGAAGCTCATTGAAGGCATCGAGCGCACATTTATCATGGCTCGGTCCACCAGACCGGGGACTTTCAACGACAACATCGTTGTCAAGGAGAAACATGTATTTCCATACGCCAATGACAACGAATTCATAGCCATCCTCAGGGTCCTCCATCGGCAGGTACACGACAAACCCGGGTTTGGGCATTCTTTTGAGTGACATCTTCACAACAAGCGCATCCCCCTCATAGGCGTATGCATCAACCATACATTTGATGATGCATTCGCTAGAGAGAGGTTCACGACTGGTTCCGTTCATGGTAAATCTTTTGTAGATGTTGTAGGTGTTAAGACTGTGATTGAATGTGTTGCTGAATTTGATGCTTTGCGTTGTTGTAGGTAAAGAATGGATTGAGCAGGTTCTCTTTATATAGCCAACCCCTGATCAAGAAACAGTATACGCTACAATGAACAAAAAGCTAAATCAAAGGGCAATGTTCAAGAGCTAGTCAGGTGTTCAACCGACGCCTTGGATATCTATACATGAACAGCTCAACATGGCTTTGTTGAACACCGATACTGAATCACTTAATTAATCTGCGCTGAACTTGATGCGAAACTACCCGTAGTCAGGGTGATCCTCGCTCAACTTTAGCCCTATCCAATAAGAAGTGCCTGTTCCCTTGGGTGCCAAAATTAGCTGACACTCTATTCAGGTCTTTTCGTCACTCAGAATAAGGGCCCGAAGTTTTCCCCGCCACGGAACAAGCGGTATCTCAATTACTCCGCATCGTGCGAACAAACACCAAAGATATCTACACGTCATTCAGCACCACCATGACTGCGTTCCCTGGGAACATTCCAGGACTGTTGACACTCTCTAACGAAATTTTGCTTGCTGTCTTTATATTTTGCAAAAGCACAGAACGAAAGCATCAGAATGACAGCATTTCCAGGCTAAGATTAACCTGCAAGAGGTTTTGCCTGCTGCACAGCGATTATGCTGTTCGTCGCTGCGGCATTTTAGACTTCAGCCGTCCAGAGAGTGTTGTGCTATTTCGTCAAGTGCTTGATAATCCTCAAATTGCAGAAGGAGTTCGCGAAGTCAATGCGCGGTTACACTTTTACCATCCATGGATTGCGGCCAGTCTTCACAATTTTACCGCAGCCATTTTATCTGAATGGGGTCAACGAACTCGAATTTTCGATGCAGTTGACAGTAGATCAGGCGGGCAAATGACATTCGAGAGTCTGATGCAGCAATACATCAGCGACGTACATGTGCATAATGCTAAGTCTGTAGAGCCTTCTACATCACGCAACACGGCAAACCAGACAGGGTATCCCAGTGGTATCCTTGAACATGCTTATGGTAAGTACAAAGAAAGATACGATTCTCAAATGCTCTTGCATGGCGACGGTGTCTTTGCAATTGGGATAGCCGAGATCTTGGAGAGACTGCCGAATGTTCGGCACGTCATGATCCATGACGGCGTTCTGAATAACAACTATGATCTGGGTCGCAAATTCGATCCACTCGACGAACAAGACACCTCAGCCCAAGCCGATGTTCTAACCCAAGTCTTTTCTCGGCCAATGTTATGGGAAGAAGCACGTTGGATCCAACCAAACGAATTCATATGGCCTGGGGTTCCCACGAGATTACTCGTGGATATTCCTTTAGCCCTCGGAGCTGTAGATTCACTGCTCATCGACCAACTCTCCATCCATGTATCAGCTGCGCCGAATTACGCAGCAATGCAACTCAGTGGAGATGAAAGAGAAAAGCTATCAGGTGCTATCAAAGAGCTTGATCTTTTGCAATTCAGCTTTCAGCCACGGTGCCGTAGCGGCTGTGGCCCATGGATCAGAAATGAAGACGACAACGACACTGTCAGGACAGCGAGTGAGATGGAAGTTCTGAATGAGTACTTAGGTGCAATCTTCAACGCTGGATGTATCACTAACGCTGATATAAATCTGGGCGAGTTTTGGTACAGCCTGGGCCTCAAGTCCATACTCGACGCTCCGAGCTCAGTCGGTATTGGGTTCACGTGGCCTTCAGTGTCCGGCTTGCACTCCATTCACCTTGTCGAAATAACTACCACCACTACAGAACTTGCAGCTTTGGCAGCCACTCTGGGTGTTGGGTCAGAGGTTTCCTTGTTTATGGTACACATCAGAGTTGGCTTGTGGCGAGATGCTCTTCAGACACTGAGAGACGGGCTGCGTGATCCGCAGTTAGTTTATATCACACACCCGATTGGCGGTGAGATTCAGAACCTCACCGGTGATCAAGTCGACTCAATTTTCAGTTCTCGATACACGGAAGATGGTACCAAGGCTGAATGTTATGCTATGGGAAGAATGTTGGATAATCCACTCGATGCAACCATATAGATACCACGCAGCTTCGGGCAATTACTTTGGCCTAGAGATGAACGAAATGGGCAAATGCATTGACGGAGTTAAGCTATATCGAAATTGATCATTCATGATACAGTCTATCTATGCCCTTTCAGCTGTACGTTGACCAACACCTACAGTTGCCTCCCCCTTGAGCCGATAAAACGCATCAATTTCCTCTTCATAAAGCTTGAGCGCAGCTCTACGCGAGATGGTTCCCTTCTCAGTACGCGGAAGAGGTCGTTTGGGATCTGCCATGATGATGTAGTCTCTCCTCAAATACCCCCTCAACAGCTGATTCTGATCTGCTTGGTCAATAATATCCCCAAGGCCTTTCCTCAGCCCTTCAATGGTCCCCAGGTCTCTTAGAACATCGTCTTTCAGTTCTACCATTAAACAAGCAAACTTCTGTCCGTTTCCAATCTGCACAGCCTGTTAGCGATCAATGTCATGGTACACATGTTCAGGCTCACAGACCATTACACATCCTTTGACACTAGGATGAGCACAGATCATGTTCTCCGTCTCGATGGGGGACAGCTTCTGTGCATCTTCCAAGCAGATGATGTCGTTGCTTCTACCCATGTAGAGCCAGAGGTTAGGCTTTTTAGGGTGTTTGATGAACAAATCCTTGAAATTGAATTCATTGATGTCGGGAAAGGTATGAAAGATTCCTTGGTGTAAAGCCCAGTGTTCATTCTTGACAGCGCGCTGCTCAAAGAGACCCCTCTCGATTTCCGTGTACTCAAACCCAGCATACGGGTGAAACGAAACCCAGAGGAAGTCTTCTTTGTCCACGAGCATATCACCCATGAAGAGTCCTTCAGTGGTGCCAAATAGATTGTGAACACGTACTACTTCATTCACCTTGGCAGCAAGCTCTGCGCTAACCGGCCCTACAAGAGACTCTGTTAACTGGGCGCATGGCGTACTGAATTGGGAACGTACCTCCGCCAGCTCCAATGAATTTGGACGATCTGAACTTCTCCAATACTTCAGGATGCTGGCCCAGCTCGTTGACGTATACAGGCATGAAGTGCCAAATATCAATATTGCCGTGATCTGCAAGTGATGCCAGCATATTCATGTCAGGATGCACGCCAACAGGGCCCATGACGCTATGCGTATCGAACAGGAACGTCGCAAAGAGGTTCATAAAGATACCGGGGCCCTGTCTCCAAAGTCAGTCACACCATTTCCAGAGTCATGTATTGGTTAAGACATACATGAAGAAGTACGCAAGGGGAATAGAGTCTATCGCCCTTTTCATACAGCGTTGCCCAAGGACGAGCGCCGTTGTCGCCCTCGAACGGCGGCAGAATGCGCGCGGCGTCCATGGTGGCTAGCAACCCGTTGCTGAGATAGATGGGCTTGGGTAGGCCTGTTGTACCAGACGTATGGAGAATGCAGAAGGTGTCACCCATAGCTTCGTCGTAGGTCTTGGTATAAGGATAGTGAGGTGAGCTGGACGCATCGAGGAGTTCTACGACCGTGGGGATCTTTAGAATACGCAGCTCATGTGTCTGCTGGATCTTCTCGACCAAAGGATACGGCGGGTAGTCGACGGGATGGACCCAAAGGCTACATTCCGTCGCCTTGAGAAGTCCCAAAGCAGCTTCAATGCTGTTACCTGGCGACAAAAAGATGACCTAAGTAACATTATGAGTCGTTAACGAAAGCTCCGAGAACAATACCTTCGTTGGGAAGTGTAACATACTTGGTATCCCGCTTTAACGCAGGCTAGATTCAACAGGAAATAGCGAATATCATCTTCTCTGGTCAGCTTTTTCCTGATGCCGTACCATCTTAAGAAACCTACGTGGCCCGATATAACCAATCGTCTGGAAGGATTCGCTCTTGCCAACAAGGCCTTCCAACCACCAGGCGGTCTTGTTCACGGCGTTGGCAAACTCGCGAGCCGTAATCTCAGTGAAGCCCTTAGAAATATCGGCCGACTTGGCAATGGAGTAGATAACTCGATCCGGTTCATCTCTAGACATGTCATCTAGGATACGAGGGATGAGCCTCCTGCCGAGATCTCCAGCTGGTGCCATGATTGTTGAGATTATGGTGGAAGTGTAACCAAGAGTCATGTAATTCTGTGTAGTGCCTCAAGATGAAGAGAACCGCCGTGGTCAGGCTTTAAACACCAGACAGGAGGGGCTGTTGCTTACTGGTCTGGTTATCTTGTTGTCTCGCTGCCGACGGGCGTGGCAATAACGAAGGGCGCCGAGTTCGCGAGGATAGATGCATTATGCATCTCCTGGTCCGAAAGCGCTCAAACTTCCGATTGGTGGCTGTTACTCTGCAAGACGACGCTTCGAATTGTTTCATCGGCCGAAATTACCGGTGAAAAGGTGCGGAGCACGGCAGTTGTTGGGCAGGGATTACTATGTGAGTTTATGGAGTCTCGCACTGAAACAAGCAATCTTTTTTTCCAATGGGATCTCCATTCGAAGATTCAAAAGCCCCTCTCGCTTATCAATCATGCCGAGACCAGTTGAGGGACCAGGAATGTAGCATGCAACGCGAATAGTGGTTTCTTTGTCTTTTACGAGGATATGTATCTAGTAATCTCTGGAGTCATGGAAACGCTTCAAGTCGACACAACATCTGTCCCCTTTGATCCAAACAGCCATTAAAACGCTGTATCAAATTCCACCCTTCCATATCTCATTTTGTTAGCCTGAGCCATCAACAATACCCAATAGCCATGGAACTGGACTCCATACCTGTCCCTGATCCAATCACTACTGAGATTGATACTTCTACTGAAGATCCCGACACACCTCCAGATGGCGGTTATGGATGGGTCATCATCTTCGTCTGCTTCGTCCACACATTCTGGATTAACCTCTGGGCTGGATCATGGGGTATTCTACAAGCAGCCTTACTTCGAACAACCCTCAAAGGCTCCTCACTGAGCGCCGTGTCCTTCGTTGGCAGTCTCGGTGTAGCCTTGGGTCCTGCGCTCGGAATACCCGCCATCAGAATAGTACGTGTCATCGGGGCTCGCGCAGGCATGACCGTTGGCATTGCAATCTACGGCATCGGCTGCCTAGCGAGCAGTTGGGCCGTTGGAAGCCTCGTGGGCTTGTTCTTCGCTTGTGGAGTGACTTATGGTGTTGGGTCAGCCTTCACTGATACTTTGTACAACACTCTTCCGGTATTGTGGTTTAAAAGAAGACTTGGGTTGGCGAATGGTATCGTCAAACTTGGGGGCAGCTTTGGAGCGCTCGTTGGAGCTGTTTCAGTTGGCTACCTGGCTGAAGGCGTTGGAGTCGCCTGGACGTTTCGGATATTAGGCATTGCGTCGCTCATCACTGGCATACCCACTGCTTTACTCGTCAAGGATCGCGGTGCTCCCCCAGAATATCCTGTAAAGTTGTCTGTCTTCAAAGACGCATGCTTTTCCTGGCATTTCGCAGCTGGCGCAGTTGGAATCTTCCCCATATATGCACCAACCTTCTTCCTACCTTATATCAACAACGCTCTCGGGTTCTCAAACTCCACATCGATAGCCACGCTTGCCTGTCTTTTGGCTTGTATGTCAGTAGGACGAATTCTGACAGGCTATGCGTGCGATAGGGTCGGCTCTATGAACGCCTTGTTTTTTACCTCTCTGGTAAATGCCATCTCTCTGTTTGCAGTTTGGCCTTTGTCGTCTAACCTTGGACTTGTTCTGTTGTTTTGTATTCTCAATGGCTTGTCAAATGGAGGGTTTGCAGTGGCGATTCCTACCGCTGTCGGTCGTCACTTGCCAATCGATGATGCGCCAGGAGCCTTGAGTTTGCTCTTCACGGGATGGGCGCCTGGTATAATGGGAGGAAATGCAATATCGGCGGCTCTTATCCAGGTCACGCATGCAGATGTTGCAGAATCGATTGTGCCTTTTCGACCTGCTATGTACTATTTTGGTGGGACAGCCTTACTTAGTACTGTTTGCGGTGTTGTAGCTCGTTTACTTTACAGTCGGGATATACGAGTGATTGCATGAAGGAGGAGGGTTGATCATTCGAGATTGATTTCTCCAGTTTACATTGATAGGACATTACTCCTCTCACTATAGGCATTCCTCAATACATAGTTTAGAGTGCGCATATTTTATAAGTTCCTATTGACCCACATTGATGTCGTCTTTGAGTGATGTTCCTAGCTTGAAACTCAGCTACAGCCTACAACTAAACCCTGTGAGCCATTTCAGTTACATGACAGGTTACATCAATGATAACGCAGAAATCCGACGTAATTATCCTGCGACATTCTAATCAAAACAATTACGAATCCAAAATACATGGCATGAAGTTGGCCCCGACTCGGCAATCAAGCAATTGGTCACAGAGTCACTTCGGACTGGTCTATAGTGGAGATGATTCAAGTATGTGATAACTTGGGAATTGAGATCGGAAACTTCATCGGAAAAGCTACTCTCGCGTTATCATCCCATTCGGACTTTACGAGGCATTTTGCAACTGCCGAAACTTAGTTGTTGTCACCAAATGCATACCACGAGACTGGAATACTGGTAGTTATCATACCTTTTACTATAAATCCCAAGCCATGCGGGCATCAACTTGCTGGATCATCCACAACTAGTCCTCCAATCTCAAACTATCTTATCTCAACATCATTCAATTCAACCTTTCTTCATCATCCACAATGGCTGCAGCTGTATCCAACGCACATCATTCCTTACCCCAAGCAAGGCCCTCCTCGGCTGGCCAAAGCCACGCTGATATCCTCAAAGTTGTCCGGTCCGATCAGCCCTTCAAATCAGCAGCCATATCCCTCGTCTCTCTTCCCCCAGGAGCCATCTTGGCTAAAATCACCGAGGCAACTCTTGTCCCCTGCGCCACCTGGACCTCATTCCAGACTGGCCGTGATGAGCACATGGAGTTCAACTCTGACATTGTCTTTATCAATCACTCCTGCGATCCTAACCTCGTGGTTGACACTACGCGCATGGAGGTTCGCGTGGCGGATGATCGTCATATCGTCAAGGGTGACGAGCTGACTTGGTTCTATCCAAGTGCGGAATGGGAAATGGCTCAGTCGTTTCCTTGTGAATGTGGAACAGAGAGATGCCTGGTTGCCATTCGGGGATCGCGTTACGTTGAGCCGGAGAAGCTGAAGGGGTACTTCTTGAACAAGCATGTACGCGAGCTCATGGAGGAGCAGAATTCTAAGCAGTAACGTGCATTAACTCTCAGATTTTGCTACTGCAACATTGATCTCAATCCAAGATCCTAGCTATATAGTCCAATGACAATGTTGAGTTACTTGAACCTTATTACAAACTATTGAATTCCCCAGAACGGAACCATGGGCTCGCAGAGTCCGTATTAGATGATGGCCTCTGTTGTGATCTTTCTACCTGCTTTTGCCAACTTGAACTCAACTTCTCGTTGATAATATCTGTTGACCAATGCCTGTTAAGAGGCCAGAGATTGCCATTGGCTTATTTGACGAAACAACCGACAGCGGGCGCAGTGAAACATATGCGTAAGCCAATGATCCAAAGTCAAATAGTTCTTTCCTCGACTATGCTTGCTCTCGTGATCCCTGCGTTGTCTTACGTGGCCTGCAGGTTTGGCCTCTATAGAATACCCCATCTATTACAGTTTAAAACTTCCGAACCCACTATTGATGATTTGACGATCCCTGTAACAGGCCTGCATCCGGGATTGGGCATTAAGAAAAAAGCATCCGGTCAAATATAGACTTCGTAAGTGCAATGGGCTCAGACTCTAAACAAGAACCCAAAGAGCTCATTACAGAGCTTGGGATTTATCGGAACGCTTGACTATCGTTTGTTTAGCATCTACCAGCCGTTTACGGTCGTTCACGTAATTAGATATTACCTGAGCAGAGCAACGGTGATGGACTCGGGAATTATAGTTTGGCGCTAGTTCATCCCGCTCATGCATGGAATGGTCTGCCCCATGCTTGTCTTCCAGTATGGCCTTATATGATCGACGGAATACTAACTGTACTAGGCAGTAAGAAGCACTGCAGTGGCAGATAATCTTGACCTTTGGTCGAGTCTCGATTGGTGCGGCAATGCCTTATTAGGTACTTTGTTGATGATCATGATCCTTGAGCCTCGCGTGATTGCGAATCGGAAGTACCAAAGTCTAATTTGAGTTCATTCACCGCGAGTGAGAAGACCAGGGCCTAGTCTCTACAAACAGTGGAGGCTCGGCCCTTGCCGCGACCTCCACTCGGTCTTAGTCCGAGAGTTACATCGTCTCAATCTAGGTTCACTATGCATCGAGAAAGGAGAATAGAGAAAAGAGGGATCTTATTGATCGGCCGATCTAGGCACGGACACCAAGAACCTGTTCCATCCCACCAGTCAGAACTGTGTTCTTGTCCTGCTCAGCATGATCCGCAGAATAGGCTCTGTACTTGATACTCGCCAGGGACTGAGCCGTAACCCTAGACCCATCGGCATCCACAAAGGACACGTCATCCCCGGGACGAAGGAGGTAAGCGATGGAGTATCTATGCCCCTCGTCACTAGCACGACCATCCCTCACGACCCGGTGAACACAGGAGTACAAGGTTTTGCCCGAGAGGAAACGGAGAGCGTCGCCGACGTTGATCACGGCATCGTTCTCCCGCGGCTCGACCCACTCCCAATTGCCGTTGCTAGGCTCAACAACCTGGAGTCCCCACTCATCGCTGAAGAGAATAGTCAAGGACCCCAGATCGGTATGTTTCTGATGCGTGAGTTTTCCAGGATAGCTCAGCATGGCGAGAATGGTATCAGATGATTTTTCATGGTCGTGATACTGAAGGAACTGGCCAGGAACCCCTAGAGCCTGCGAGTAGCAATCCAATAGAACGTCGACTACGCGCTCGCAAAGAGCTACGTAGTCGGGGATGAGAGTTCCGGCCTTCTTGAACAGAGCCGGAAGCGTGGAAGCCAGATTAGTTCCCAGGTCGTGCGTTCCAATCTATCTTCAAGTCAGTCATGGATCAAGCGAACAGATGATATGGCTTACAGCAAGATGTTCAAAAGACTCATCAGGGCGCTTAGGGTCGACGGCAGTAAAGGTGCCCTTTTTGACATATCTTCAAGTCTAATCAGCACGTACTGATTCATAATTGCAGTCTGCTTACCCGCGTGTAGGAACGCCCTTGCTGTCAAGTTGCTTGATATCATCAGGCTGACTGAAATATTCTTTCATGGCCTTGAGAACATCTTTCTTCTTTTTGGGTAGACCAGCGGCACCACTATGGTCAAAGTCTAGGTAGAAGAATCCGGCTGTGCGGCTTGCAGCCATGAGCTTCTCAATTTCTTTTCCATCTCGTCTTTCGAGAGCGGAGTAGTTGATTGTCTCGATCGAGGCGATTGGGATGCTATCGATGGCAGAAGGCATGGCGTGCGGTGTTCGAGTTTGAGATATGGAGCAAGTTGATGATATGGTTGTAAATGTGTTACTATACTGTCTTGAATCTTATTGTGGATTCTGGAAGAATAGCTTATATAGACAAAATTTACCATAAAGTTCGTTTTGAGTATACGTTACCATAGTCTATGTTCACGACGCCACCATATCTTTTCGCCCATTTTCATATCTTCGCCGATCCTATGACGAGAATGTTACATACTTTAGCCTCAGCACACGATACTCACCCATGGGAGTGGGAATTGTCGGCGGCATCAGCCTCCGGCATTAGTCAAACTGTACCTTGTATACTCGCCGACTCGTAATGCAAATGGAAAGTAAAACTGATATGTGATGAACCGGTTTGTGATAGACTTCTGCTGGTGGATCTCAGTTTAGAATCACCTCGTGTACGGTATGCATGAATAGTCCGGCTGCAACTGACTACGGCAGATAGAACTTGCAGTAATCATACGACATTGAACAGATATAGATGCAATGAAACATCCGAACAAAGCTAGTTTTGGCTCTTATATCCACCGCGATATTCATGCCGTGTCGGGTGATATGCAATATTGCGCCACAGCGTCAAAAAGTACCGAACACGGGAGACATTTTCTTGATTCCGGCAGGTTTCGTGATACAAGCGCTACTCCGGTGGCTAGCTCGAAACGAGAAGTGATATTTCACGACTCTATCTGAGTCATTGCAATGCCGGTGCTACCTTGCTTAGTGGAGACATTTGTATAGCATTCTAATGTGCAACGGCGGCCTCGGCACGGTTAATCACATCATATTCGAGAAGTTTCTTATAACTAATACGAGTTGGTTATATCGACCTGGCTTGTATTTTTCCTCACTCGCATTCGCACCTGCGTTCTTTATCCTCAGAACAATGTTTACTGATTCTCTGTTCCTTTCACCATGGGCGCTCTTGGCACTTCTTATCTGTGCACTGATGTACTATATCATTCCCTACCTCTATACCTACAGACACCTGCGCAGGATCCCTGGCCCATTGCTAGCCCGCTTCTCAAACCTTTGGCTCCTGTATATCTGCCGCCAGTCTAAGCGTTCATACACTGTCTATGACCTGCACGAACGACTTGGTCCTATCGTAAGAATCCAGCCAAACCACGTCAGTATCGTTGACGAAAGAGCCATTAATCTTGTCTACGGCCATGGGAACGGGTTGGAAAAGTCGTAAGTTGCAGTTGCATGTCTTGGCCATGTCATTCTATGCTCACTCTACCAAGATCCTGGTACGATTCATCAATTTCTCTCACCCGAAGTATCTTCACGGCGAGGAATCGCGCCCAACATGCTCGCAAGAGAAGATATATCGCTCATAGCTTCGCCCCCAAGTCGTCCCGTGCAGCCGAAGGACCCATCGCCGACAAAGTCGCGCTTCTGGTCCGTAAGTGGGACGAGATAATCGACAAAGGGCCGCAGTTTGATGGGTTCACACGACTCGAATGCAGGCGATGGTTCACGTAAGTAAATAGTCGACTGTTTAACTGGCATACACTGACCTTGCAACTAGATACTTGTCGTTTGACATCACTGGTGATCTTCTCTTCAGCGAGCCATTCGGAATGCTTGAGAATGGCTCTGATCTGGTCAAGATAGACAACAAGCCCGGGTCCTACGTGTCCATGATGAACAGTCTTGCGCAGAGGAGTGCCGCCGTCGCTACTCTTGGTGTCTTACCCTGGTTGAAGCCACATGCACATCATCTGCCCGATCCATTCTTCCATAAGGGAATGGATGGGCTACAGAACCTACTCGGCGTTACTTCCGCTCAAGTCAAGGAACGCATGGCCGCAGCGCAAGACAATCATGACGATTGGCTCTCACTTCTACTCCGAGCGCGTGATGAACACGGAGAGTTGCTCAAATTCGAAGAGATTACTTCTGAGTCCTTGACCTTGTTCATGGCAGCCATTGAGACCGTCAGCAACACCCTGTCTGCCATGATGTACTACCTCGCCACGTCGCCCTCTCCACTACAAAAGCTACAAGCTGAGGTTGACTCTATCCATGTTTCTGGAACAGTTATGCCGTTTGCAGATGTCCGGGCTCTTCCATATCTAGACGCTGTGCTCAACGAGACAATGCGTCTGCACAGTGTCCTCGGGATCGGCCTCCCTCGAGAGGTGCTTCCTGGAACCAAGGGAGTTAACTTAGACTCCTTTTACTTTCCTCCCGGCACTGTTCTCAGCGTTCCCATTTATACCATTCACCGGTCTAGAGAAATTTGGGGCCAGGATGCCAATGACTTTCGGCCTGAGAGATGGGAGAAACTGTCGGATCGTCAAAGAACATCTTTTATCCCATTTGGCTACGGTCCCGCAGCATGCGTTGGGCGTAATACCGCAGAAGTTGAGATGAAGATTATAGCAGCAACGCTGATAAAAAGATATTCCTTCTGCATGGTTAATTCAGAGGTTGAGTCTACTGAGGGAACAACACGGAAGCTTATTAAAGTTAATATTGGAATTAGAAAACGATACTAGAGGTATTTATATATTAAGAATGAACTTTAAGAAAATAATACTATTCTTTAGTTCAAAACTTGAATACTGTCGGGCCGTTTGGACTTAGAGACCGCCAAGGGCGCCCTCGGGGGGGGGGAGGATAAACAACATAAACAACCCTAACTTCACCAAAATTGGCCCGTCGATGGGCCGTTTTTTATTCCCCTCCAAAGCGTTAAACATTCCGGGATACTAGGTGGGGTCTGAAATCAATTTCGAGAGATCCCAGATAAGCGCTTTAGCTGACATGTTCTCTCATTGTATCCGCCCAGACCAATAATCGGCCCTACCTCCCCTTATCTACTGCCCGTTATCTCCCCAGAGCTGATGAAGGATGATACCTATTCCTTTTCCCGTGCTGCTTCGGGAGATTGCGATCGTCGCGTGCAGCTGCCTCATGGCCGGGCGCAAGGCTTCTCCATTACTAACACCGATACCACCAACGTCTTCCGGTCGGGCCACATTGAGTAGTCAAGGATCAATTAGCCTAGTGGGAAGGTAGGTCGTGGAGAGCTTCTTCTTTTCAGACACTTTCTTGTGAGAAATGGGTTCATATTGTAGGATTAAGTGCTCTAATTATCTAACAAAGGTAGTTAAAAACTTTCTTCCAGATCGGCCAAGTACGCCTCACGTCGGCATCCTGCTCTCGATCAAGATCGAATCGATATGATCGCCGCCCCGTGTCCAAATCCATCTCAGCAACACTTATAAAGTGTGTTCGAAAACGAATTTTGTGGTAAATGAAGAGCACAGCCACAATTGGAAGAGCCATGGTCCGGAGGAAAAAGTATTGTACCCGGTCCGGCAGGCTCATCTCCTCTCCTGACGCCTGAAGAGGTGAAATGGACACCCACATGTGTAAGGCCATCACCATCACGTACCCTGCTATTGTGAGCCAAGAACCGATAACACCGACGGCTGAACGAAATGGAAGGCGATCGATAGGTCTGGACGCATGTATCCAAGCCATACGAAGACGTATATGACAGAAGCAGATGCTAGTCCACGCGAAGAGGATCCCAAACGCGCTAATAGAGAGCAGCCATTGGAAAATTGTATCGTGTGCTTCCAAGTCAACCAAATAGGCCAGAAGACCGAAACACCCTGCGATCAAGAGCGAGAGAAGTGGTCGGCCTTTCTTATCGACATACGTAAAAACCCGAGGTGCGTGTGAAAGCTCTGCCATAGCTGCAAGAGTGCGAGAAGATGCATAAATTGCTGAATTACCGACGGAGAGAACTGCGATAAGGATAACACTGTTCATGACGCTTGGTAGAATGGTCGTGCCAGCGCTCTCGATAGCGATAACGAAGGCACTAGCGGATGCATCCGCAGAACTCTTGCCATTGATAAGAGATGAATTGTTGGAGGGTACAAGTAGTCCGATAAGCAAAATAGTGACGAGATAAAAGATAGCAATGCGCCAGAAGATATGCTTAATGGCGTTGGGAATTGACTTGAGCGGGCTACGCGTCTCGGCCGCGGCAAGCCCGACGATTTCGGTACCACCATAGGAGAAGACTGCCGTCATTAACGCACTGCTGAAGCCCTTGAAACCGTTGTTGAAAGGACCCGGGTGTGACCAATATTGACCGCCAATATAGCCGCTATGTGGCGGGCCGCCGATATGAATAACGATGCCTAGCAGACTAAATAAATCTTCAATGTGAGCACTGTACTATCATATGATTGTAAGAGAAAAACCCACATGAAGCCAACAACTGCAATGACCTTAATGATAGAGAGTATGAACTCTGCCTCGCCGTAGATCCTGATGTTAGAAAGATTGATGCCGAGGATGAAAACAAGAAAAATAGTCACGAAGACGGCCTTGGGTACTGAGTCGTTCCAGTAGGTGATAGTAAGCACGGCGGCGATTATTTCGAGGGGCAGAACGAACAGCCATTGTAAAAAGTAGCTGGGTCATGGCATTATATCAGTATTCAATTGAGGGGCGCGGTGTTAAACAGGGGAACTCACATCCATCCTAGAGCGAATCCCCAAGATGGGTCAATGAAGCGAGTGGAAAAAGCTGTAAACGATCCTGCAACAGGGAACATGACTGAAAGTTCGCACAACGACTGCATAGTGCAATATTGCAAGATGCCAACCGCGAGATAGGCGAGTAGCAGACCTACTGGACCACCTTTAAATAGGGCGGCACCTGAAGCGACGAAAAGTCCAGTTCCTATATTCTATTAGACTTCCTTCTCCTTCGTGCCAATCATAAGTTTGAGGAACTTGCCAATCGAGCCTCCAAATGCAATCATCTGAAGGTGTCTTCCCTTGAGCTCTCTTGCCAAGGGTGTTGTTACTGTTTTGGCGTTGGCCGCTACGATATCATACTGTCCAAGTTCTGCGACAGGTTTCGGATTGGGACAGTACCCGTGGTCATGGGTCTTGTCACGTCGACGCTTGGCGCGCTGGAAGCCTTCGAACCAACTGGCAGGCTCCTCCGCAGGTTTGGTTGAGACATCCCACGAAGTACCAACGACGCCCACGTCTTTCATCTCGATAACCTCGACATCGTGAGTGAGCACAATATGACCGTTGCCCATTGTTCCGTTTGCGATGGTTGAGAGCGTTGGCAAATGGCAACCTGATAAACAGCGGCGGGGAGCAAATATACATACCCTACCGTAAGAGGCATATCTGGGTCCCCTGTCTCGCAATCCTTACCGTTACCCCTGAGGGGTGGAATGATTTCCTTATCTTCGACTTCTAGACCACTGCGCTAGCATGAGTTGGAGGGACGCCACCTAGTTACTATCCCTGTGGCAGGAAAAGCGCACCGATAACTCGTGAGATCGTAACAGGTCTATCAATCAAATTGTTACGATGAGAAATGGTTATCGAAACGGTGTAATAAACCCTCTGGATTATTTATCCTAATGCAATCTATTAATTCTGCCTTCCTGTATCCTAAGAAATAGGGAAATATTGCATAGGCCGATTGAACGGAGTAAAGACATTATCAGTTTTACACTTAAGTAACTACCTGCTTAATATAGTTAGTATTTCGTCTAAGTTATTAACTATGGAGTAGTTAGTTATGATTCGCAGTTGAGGCTTGTTACCCCATACCTTTCACCGGCCCGATAGATCAATCAGCACGTGACCTCTCCAGCGGGTTCCTTGCTCATGACAGCTTTGACCAATCGAAAATGCTACTCCCTTTGTATAATCGATTCGAAAGTTGAGTCTGCTGAGGGCACGACGCAGAGGCTCGTTCGGGTAAATATTGGAATTAAAAGACAGGAATAAAGAACTTTATAAGTCGGTGTTACAATGATGTAGATAAAGCACTTAATAGCCATTTGTCTTGAAGTACCGTGAATGTATTCTGTTTTAAGTAAATATCTCATGTCCATCTGTAGGGTAGTGAGCAATTCCCCAGTTACAGAAGACAGGAAGCGACTTATCCGCTATCGTAAAATGCGAGAAAACAGTACCATTGGTGTTAGCGTTGATGTCGTCCCACTCCCGCTTCAAATGCCGCCAACCCTTCTGAGACCGAGGTGTCTCCAAGTTCCACTTATCTTATCGTGCCGAGGTATGCATCCACGTGACGTGTCATCGACGCGTTTGCTTCTGAAAACCAGTTCAAATGATCAAGACTCATCGCTTATCCTCATCAACTCGACATAAGCACTGCATCTTTTTTCGCTCATCTTGTATTATTTTTATCATGGTGCTGTCTCAGAACAAGGGCCGTCGTGAGACGCTCACGGTCGTGGATAACAGAACAAACCAGACCTACGAGATCCCCATCACTCACAATTCCATCCCAGCGACGGAATTCAAGAAGATCAAAGCTGAGCCTGGTAATGATCGCCCAGAAGATGAGACTACGCAGGGCCTTCGGGTTTATGATCCCGCGTACATGAACACGGCTGTCGTGCAGAGCAAAATCACATACATCAACGGCCTGGACGGCGTCCTTCGGTACCGCGGATATCCGATTGAACAGCTAGTCGAGAAGAGCAATTTCCTCGAGTCGGCGTATCTTCTCATCTACGGAGATCTTCCCACCAAGGCGCAGTATGATGAATGGCAGGGCGAGGTGATGCATCACACGTATATTCACAGTGATATCGAGAACATGTTCAAGTCGTTCCGCTACGACTCTCATCCAATGTCCATGTTGAGCGCGGCGTTTGCTACGCTCGGAGCGTTTGCTCCGGAGGCTAATCCTTCGCTTGCAGGGCAGAAGCTTTATACCAACGCTGCTTCGGGAAATATGGAATCTCTCAAGATGCTGGACAAGCAGATTCTTCGAATTCTCGGAAAGGCGCCGACATTGGCGGCTGCGTCGTACAGAATGCGACAGGGTCGACCATTCAACCGCCCTGCCCAAGGCTTGTCATACACAGGAAACTTCCTCTATCTTCTGGACAACCTATCTGAGCCAGACTATCAACCTCATCCTGTTCTTGCCAAGGCCCTGGACAAGCTCTTCATTCTCCATGCCGACCACGAAGTCAACTGCTCTACCGCCACAGTCCTGCAAGTTGGAAGTTCTCTGGTCGATCCTTACAGCGTTGTTTCTGCGGGATGCGCGGCCCTCTACGGCCCATCTCACGGAGGAGCTTCTGAATCAGCCATCAGAATGCTCATCGAGATCGGATCCCCCGAGAACGTCCCCGCATTCATGCAGGCCGTTGAGAGAAGAGAGCGTGTCCTCGTAGGCTTCGGCCACCGCGTCTACAAAAACGTGGATCCCCGCTCAACAGCCATTCGCAAGCTCGCCGAAGAAGTCTTCGAGGTCACTGGCCGAAACAAGCTTCTCGACACTGCCCTCACGCTCGCCGACTACGCGCGCAAGAGCGAATTCATGCGTAGTAGGAACTTGTACCCTAACGTGGACTTTTACTCTGGACTGATCTACCAGGCCATGGGATTCCCGCTTGACTTTTATCCTGTCTTGTTTGCGGTTCCACGATGTGTTGGTTGGTTGGCGCACTGGAGACAGATGATGTTGAACAAGTCGGGCGTCAAGATCTGGAGGCCGAGACAGCTTTATGTTGGAGAGGGGGAGAGGGAGTATATTGATACCAAGGACCGAAAGGAGAAGCCTGATGCTACTGTTTTCGACGCCCCTGTCAAGGTTGAGCATGGAGGGGAGAAGCAGCGAGCGGTTCTTGCTGCTAGTGCGGGGCTAAAGAGTAAGCTGTAAATCGCAAAGCATAGTTGGGCTTGCTGTGTATTTTATCTGGTCCTTTGGGTTGGTAAGTCTTAGCGGTTTGCAAGGCTGGCATATCATTTTGAGCAGGTAGCTTTATCTTAAGAATGTATTAAAATAAACTCCTTGTAAAATACCAAGGGTTGTTGCTCTGAATTGATTCACCTTTGATACTCAGATGACGACAAGCATCAACCCAATTACATCTCGGCCAAACAGCAAACTTGATACCATTGGTATGGAGTCTGTGCGCCATCAGTCTTGACTGTGCCCTTGAAGAACTCGCAATTGCCCTTTGGCCATCCGTTGGCGGCTTCGTTGTAGAAGTCGGCGACATCGCACCCCGGATAATCAGCGCAGGCCTGCAAGCAGTCTTTGGCGCTGTCCTTTGTTCCCGGGCTGGTGAGGTACTGCAACGTGTTGCCAGCGGCGAAGTACCCGTAGACGCCGCATGCTGTAGGAGCAGCGGCGCAGGGCGCGGTGGTGGTAGTCTCTGCGACCGTGGTGGTAGTCGTAACATCAGCCTCTGCGCTGGTTGTTATTAGGGAAGTAGTTGTGGTCTCAGCCTCTGTTGTTGTAGTGGTCGCAATGGTATCGATATCGGCCCCTGCTGTTGTAGTGGTGGCGACGGTAGTAGTATCATCAGAGACAGTATCAGTATCAACAATAGTGGTGTCTCCAAGGGCTGAATTTGTCGTGGCGGATGTCTGTTCGATTGCGGTTGTAGTGGTGTCGAGGACTGGGCCGGTCGTACTGGGCTTGCAGGGGCCGGCGATAACAGCCGATGCGGTTGCCAGCACCACCAGGAGAGATCTGCAGCGGACCATGGTATATAGCTTGCGAGGTTCTGAAGTCCAGGTAAAAGAATGAGGGATAATGAGGGTTGGGTCGGTGAAACAATAAACGAGTGACCATTGGACCTGGTACGAGAGAAGAGAGAAGGGCAGAGACTGAAGAATCTTGGAGAGTACGGAGTAGTTCTATTCATATCATCTTTAACGGCAGCTCTCGGTAGCGGAAGGTTCCTTTTGGTAGGTAAATCCTATTTTGCAGGAAGAGAAAGGAGCTTATGGTTCAATAGTCCACGTATCGCGGCACTAACGCCAATAGATCCGAGCACTAAGGCTGTCCCTGGGACAGTGTACGCCACTACCCAGTATTCATTTTGCTAGCTAAATTGGACTATCATAGACTAATTAGAAGAGCCATTCATTCACAGCACTCAATAATGTAACAAAAATCAGATCTGGAAAGTGTCTTTCCAAGGTCAACATCTTCGCAAGTAAAGCCTCATATATGAATTGCTGACCATATGTAGCTACAAGTACCAGGTTTAAACCTTGAGTGGTTCCCCGAAGCTGGCACAATAGATATTGCAGTAGAGCCAGGCCAGCACACCAGATCCAGAGCATTCAGAAGAGCAAGACGAGCCTGAGGAGCCAGACGAACTGTAAGAGCTGTAGCCCGCGCAAGTTTCGGATGCATTCTTCCACACAGTAAGATTATCACCGACCTGTCCATCGTGACCTCGGATGAACTGCCAAGACAGGGTCGTTGCGTTATAGACGGTTAACTTGGAGAAGCCGAAACTGGTCAAGTTACGGTGAGCTGTTATGTCGGGTATAGGCAGGGACTGATCGATAGTAGCGTGGCTTTCGATGTTCCCAGCAGCGCCATTGATGAGATGTACTATCGAATTCCCAGGCCTCACTTTGTAAATGCCATTCTTCTCACTGTCGTCTATAATGGCCTTTGTGTCGACTCCGCAGTTTCCTATGGGCTTGAGACGCTCATACCAGTGGACGTGTCTATGAGCAGTTAGCCTGGCATACTTGACAAAATCCGAGGTGCATGGCTTACCCAGCGATGTACAAATCAACCTTGTTCTTCAGGAACAACCCCTCAAAGGCCTCGCGAAGGTGCAGATGATAATTGGCGTCGTCGTGTGAACTGTACATGGGACGATGGCCCATGACGATGACCCAGGGCGTTTTACACCGATCAACCTTGCCGAGATCGTCTTTCAACCAGTGATATTGCTGATACGCCTTGTTGTCATGGATGGAACCCTCAATGTATCCAAAAGGCCCAGCATCAGTTACGTATGTCTCGTTTCGCAGAGGATGAGCTCTCCCGGACTCAAGATATGTCTCCTCCTCCAAGTCATCTGTCTCATAGACATCATCTGTCGGGAGCGGGGTACACGACCACGCAGATGTAGAAGCAGGCGGTTCTTTCGTCTTAGTCTTGCACTTTGGCTCATCCTTATCCTTGCCTTTGCAATCCTTCTCTTTCTTAGCCTTCTCGACATCCTCACGGAACGTCTTGTCGGGACTGTTGGCATAGTCCGTTTCCGTGTCGATAGATACGAAATGAACAAGCCCGTAATCAAATGAATGCCAGAAATTACCAACGCCACCTGACTTGTCGCCTGCCATGGTGAAGCGGTTCTGGAAAGCTGTGAAATTGCGCTGTGAAGGCGGACATGAATAATATGTCAGAGTCGAGTTGGGGTTATCGCCTGACATGGTGGTGTTTTTTTTGTTCTCGTTGAGATACGATGAAAGGACAAACGGATTGTTATCATGGTCGGCACACGTGGCCTCATGATTGCCGGGGAGAACGATATAAGGAATCTTCATGGTGATGTTGTTCATCCACTGCTGCCAAAGATCCCAGTTGGACTCATAGAGGACGCCAACATCGCCGCCACGAGGGCTGCCTTGATTTGGAATCTCATGGGGAGGAAGGGGCGTGTCAAAATAATCGGGATTGGTGTCGTTGTTGGGCAGGGAACTCTTGCTACCGTTATAGCAGACGGGCCAGGCCGACAAGTTGCACTGCACGATACCAGAGTACCAGTCATCCGCGTAGCTGAGATCTCCACCGTGCCAGACAAACGCGAGCTCTTCCTTCTTTATGGCTTGATTCATGTAGTAGTACGTTCCATTCGCATTCGTGTACCCCATATCATTGTTGATAGCGATACTGAATTGAGTTGGGTTGCCTTTAGCTTGGGCAGTTGTAAAGCTCAGAACGGTAGACTCGGTTGTACCGTTCGGAGCAGCAGGGATTTGGTAGAAATATGTTGTACCTGGTTGAAGGTGTTCTATTTGCACGTTGTGGAAGAATTGACTGCATTGGGTCATTTGCACGAGAGAGCAGGGAGGCGTGCGGTCGTATGTTGCGGTCGAGCCGAAAGCCACATTGTTTAAAGACGAACGACTGGTTCCCCAGTGAACTGAAGGTGCGCTACCGAGACCAAAGGGTGTTTGGTAGTGGATGTTGATCCCGACGGTCTCCTTACCAGGCTGAGCAGGTATGTATGACAGTGAGATGACATTGACGTTGTTGGTAGCATTGACATAGCCAGGGTGCACAGCCGGGGGTTCAACTAGACGGATGAATCCATCGCCGTTGTCGCCCTTGATCGTATGGTCAACCCAATCGCCGATGGGGATATCAGGTCCATTATATGGGTATGTCTCGTCGACAGTCGGTGCTGCTTGAGTAAGCGCAGCGAGAACACCAGCAAAGAAGAATGGTGATTTCATATTTCTTAGAGCCCTGAGTATGACACCTCCAGGAAGACTAGAGCGATCGATCAAAGGAGCGCTGGATGGAGCAACCAAGGCTAATTATGTATGACCACTGGCTGAAGCAACATAAACACCCCCGCTACGCTATGAACTGGTGAAATGGAGTAGTGACAGCCACTCGGTTCATTCAACCAACGGGAAGATGTCGATTTACATTCTAATCAATTGATTAGCTACAGAAGGATACGCCAAAAGAAGCTATCGGTGCCACTCAATTCCTAAAAGATCTTCAACTCGGCACGGAACGACGGGACAACAGCGCGGCTTCCCCAGTTTGGGTATAGCAATGGGTGATTGATTCCCCTTTTCGCTTGTCACAGCGGGGAGTATTGGAGTGGCTGAGAGCGGAGGCGAATATCGCTGTCTGATTAGCTGGTTTACGCTAGCGAAGCTATCCCTTGCATGCGCCCGAGGTGACTATCGATATGGTATGTGGAATGTCAGCCAGCCACAGTTGGGTCTCGATTGGCCTTTGAACAAGCTTATCTTATCGGCACAGAGAGAGATGAGATGATTTGCAACGCTGAATCTGGAGCTGGGATTTATTGCTGAGTCCGAGTGAGTGCCGAGGTGGGCATACCGATATTCGTTGGACATCATCACGAGTGTCAGAAGTGATGACTTATAAAATCACAGAGATAGACAGCTGGCTTGCTGTTAGGTGCGGACGATCAATGTGACGCTCAGTCTTCATGAAAACGATGCAGCATACACTAGCTCTTTCACCATTTCACGCTTTCGCTTTTTTTCTATAGGGATAAATCGCCATTATCTCATATCTTTAGGGACATCTCACTTCGAGACTTTTATTATTGCAATCATCCATAGTGAGACTCCCTCCAAAAAGCGCGAAAGCATCAGAATGGTCGTTGTGACCAGTTTCGTCTCGAATTTCCCTCGGCTACCCTGTATTGTACAAACGCTGCAAAACAGACATCGGAAGATCGTCAACCCGACTGCCGCACGAGTTTTCCCCAGCCCATCAGAACCGATTGGTTAAGAGCAGGTTTACCCCGCGCCCGTCCACTGTCCTTGAACTTCGACACAATGCGCAAGGTATTGTAACAGTAACTACACGCGGTCAACCTTTCAGATGCACAGTAATTAATTGACCTGCAGTAATTGTGATCAAATTACTCAATACCCTAATATCTAACTCGATGAGAACTGCGATAAATCCGTAGCAGCGTGATCACACTGCTGCCACATAGAAACCCTCTTAATCACCATCTCCCCCCCATTATTCTTCTCCCACGTCGGATACCACTTATCCTTCGCGTTCCAGAAATCCGTCTTGGGGGAGATTGCATCGTTCACCCAGGGCTTACCGTGCACATCATCCGGAAACCAGCCCGACGTTCCCCCGACAGCCAATGCGATGATCAGGTAGAACGGCCTGTCGAAGGGCGTGGCATTGCTGGTGCCCGGGCCGGTCCATGGATTGGAGATCTGGGACCCGTTGGCAAGGGCTTGGTGGAACCCGCCGTGCTGGTAGAATGGATGATTGAACTTGACGTACGTGACCTGTGCGATGCGGTGATCAAGCCAGGTGAAGAGATACTTGTCAGACCACTCTAGTCCAAAAGTATGAAAGTCTCGATGGAACGTCGTGCGCAGCGCATCTCTCGCCCCAGAAGTGCTCTGCCACCGATCCGTGGTGGTATCTAGCCCCCAGTGCAGTTGAGTCGAAACCTGCTGATTCCCCCGCCCATTATCATAAGTGTAATTATTCCCGCGCACCATCCCGATATCGATCTCCCCAGAGGCAGGCCACGCGCCGTAGTAGTCCTTTGCTGGGAACATCATGAGCTGCGAGAGCAGCCAATCTCCCGCTGCGAGCTTAGCGACGACCTCGACGCGGCCGTAGCGGATGACGCCAAAGTTCTTGGTCGTGATCCTACCGGACTTGACGGGCGCGACGATTTCTCCTGCGGTGAGGTTTGCGACTTGGACGCAGTCTTGGGTTGTTGTGGAGGAGCAGGTCCCGTGGGCGGTGAGGTTTATCTTTGTTGTTTCGGAGAGGTATTTATCGGTTTGGAGGGTGGGTTTGATGATGAGTTGACCGTCGCGGACAAAGACGTTTTCATCCGTGTTTGTCGTCAGCGCAAACTCTCCATTTCTAGAGTTCGTGATTAGCACTCATCAATATTGCCAAGCATATGATTTGGTAGAGAGCGTTAACATACCCGTATCCTCCGACCTCAACCTGCTTATTCCATACTGTAGAGTTGAAGCCATTGGAAAAGTCATCCGTAAACACCGTGCAGTATTTATGCTTATCGACAGATCTATAGCCACTCCATGTTAGAAGCGCTATAGCAACCAGTCCTATAACGATGCCAAAAGCTGGGATAATTGTGATCCATATGCCTCGAGGGTCCTTCACTGCAAGGTATGGTCTCTCGACAGTGCCCTTTTTGACTCGGCGGGAATGGAAATATGGACGATCAGGGAATCTCTTCTTGAGTGAAGACTTAGTTGAGCTTTGGGCTGCAAGACTCGGTCTGACCAAGTCTTCCGTGGAGTTTGCATGGCTGGTAGAGGCGAGATACGATCCAGAGGATCTAATTGCAGTACTAGACATTGTGGTAGAGGCTGGTAATATCTGGTATATTATCCGAGACAGGGATGGCAAGGCAGGGCGCTAGATGTACAAGACGTGCTTGGCATTTTGGGCAGCGTAGAATTTAAGAATCAAGGATATGTAGTTTTCACAGGGAGAATCCGTCAAAATTAGCAAACTTCTACAGTGCCAGCTTTCATCCATGACATCCAAGGCCTCCACGCCAGAATAAATCGCATCTGTATCCAAACTCAAGTACACCCCCTTCCTTGAAACTTACGACATTCCTTCATCCTCAAAAAAACTTCATTCGCCGTGGATGGACCGACAGATAGCTTTGGCAACACCGAACCAACAAATCCTCATAACTCGATTCCGTACAAAAGTCCATGAGTGCGAACCTCCATAAATTGGCATGAATCTGCTAGTTTGCGGGTCTCGTCGATTATCTGGTCACGATACCTTGGCACTACTAAGCGACGTAGTATTCAAAACGGATTACGTGGATCTGGAGGAATAGAGTGCATATGTCAAAAACTTGGCGAGGTCGACGCTTGCCCTATAGAGGCAAGATGCCAATTAAAAACCCTGCTTCGCTTATGTCCATCGTTTATCTCGCCGTGTCCACTACGGCAACTTGTTCCTGATAACGCCTCTTCCGTGCCTACGTCACCGGACCCTTCGGGAGTTGGCCCCCCACTGTTTCAGTCATGCTTGCAGCGGACATAACATACACATTGGTAGAAGTGGAATTCCACTGATGTTACAACGGTTAGAAATTGGAACTTGACTATATTCCGAAAATATGATCAATCGGTTTGCAAGAATAGCAAAGTACGACCTTGAGAAGCGATTCCCAGGTCTCACCACGTCAATACAATGCGTATAAAACGCTCATCGTGGGGTACTTCGTAGGGACTACCAAAAATCCCCGTAGTCAGCGCCACAAAGAAAATACAGTTCAAACACAGACCAACAACATGTCACCAAGCCCCCGAGAGTCAAGACAACAGCCTAAAAACGGACAATTGAGCCTTTCGGCCGACGGAGCCGAATCACTTCCCTACAGGGGAGAAATCACATTCCAGCACCTAACATCGTCCGACGAGGAATCATCCCATCCCCAAGATCGGCAATAAGTATCGGTATCGACAATCACTTCTCACAATGCAAGGTACGAGATGGCATGCATGTCAGGTAATTCAATAGCTCAAGACGGCGCTATCATGAGATTGACCAATCACATTACACCGTGCCCCGCCCTTTTATGGCCGAGGTGAATACAAGCGGCCCGACTTTTCCGCCCTTGCTGTAGTTGTTGTGAGTGCGCGAGTCAGGCTTGCGAGAGAGAGGATTCGGGTTATTCTCAGTAAACAGATAGGAGTGGTCTGTAGATACCACGTTTTGGAAGCCGCAAACAGCAACGACTTGAACTTACGCGTGGGATAGTTCTATACACCCACAAACACTTGTCGGCAGTTGGACCATGGCAACCCAAGCAACGTAATCTTCTGCAGAAAGCAGTCTCCCCTTCCCTCTGCACATCTTGTCAAGAGCCTCTCGCCCCATTCATTTCCCAAACCTCGACCCTCGCTGTTCTTCACCTCAAAATGATGCTCATACAATCCTCACTCGTGGCTCTGGCCCTCTTCACAACCTCATGCACCGCCATCTCAAAAAACTTCTACCCCTCCTCGAAACGCGGCCTCATCTACATCCCCAACTCCGACTTCCCCAGCGATGACAAAGTCTGGGTCCAAAAACACTCCGACCTAACATGGTATTACAACTACAAACCGCACGCCAGCCCCGTCTACGAGAACAACACCTCCCTCCAATTCGTCCCTATGCTCTGGGGCACCCCCGACGGCTTCGATGACACTTCCTTTCTAGAGAACGTCACGGCGCAGATCATCGGCGGCCGAAACATCTCGTACGTGATGGGCTTCAACGAGCCTGATAACTCAATGGCCAACGGCGGCAGTGACATGAAGGCAAAAGATGCAGCGAGGTACTGGATCAAACAGCTCGAGCCGCTGAGAAAACTAGGTGTTTCGCTTGGTGCGCCTGCGGTGACGGGTGCTCCGTCGGGGTTCACGTGGCTTGCGGACTTTGTAGAAGCTTGCAAGGGGAACTGTACGTTTGACTTTATTCCTATACATTGGTACGGAAGCTTTGATGGTATGGCGAGTCATATCGCTGGTGTGTTGGATGTGTTTCCGGGGAAGAAGATCTGGGTCACTGAGTTTGCGCTGGACTTTTCATCTTTGGCTGCGACGCAGGATTACTTCCAGACGTCGGTGAAATATCTCGATGGAAACAAGTAAGTCACATTCACTCCCCTTGAGTATAGTGATTAACGCGGCTGCTTAGAAACGTCACTCACTATTCGTACTTTGGGTCATTCCGCTCATTCACGTCGAATGTTGGGTATAATGTATCGATGCTGAACTCAAATGGGCAGTTGACGGATATAGGAAGTTGGTACCTCGGGGGTGATGCAACGGGCGTTATACCAGGCGATAATGTTGTCAAGCCTAATGTAACAGCGTCCAAGCCGTCTACACCTACGTACGTTGTTCCAGCGCTGGCCACGGAGGATAGTGACTCGTTGGGTGCCGTGATCCGGCCTTGTATATCCTATCTTGGGCTACTGTCGCCTCTTCTCGCTTTGTATGCTAGACTATAGAATCAGATACCAAAGCATGTAGAGTAGCGGCGTCTTAGACACGCTGTGTATTCCTTGTACTATTAATCTTCATGCAGTGATTTTAAGCTCTCAGCCACGGATCTGAAACTTGGTAGTAACCGCCAGATTCTGGATCTAGACAATATCAGGCAATGCGCAACTAATTCCCTTTGTTGTGCCGTGCCCGTGGCCAAGAATGTAACTAACTTCCGATTATAAAGGACACCCTCCCACTAAGCTCATCAGATCATTCTGCCACACCATTGTTCGTCAAAAGCATGTCTTAAGTGATCCACAATCCGTTTCCGGTTTCAGCCACTTTGTATCTGCCGTGGAATGCTGCGATTAGCAACGACACAAATACGCCCGCGTGCACGACTCGCGTACCACGGCTCTACCAATCACAACCCCTCGAGTCTTGTGATGCCTTGCTCGTTTCGGTATGTGAGAACTGACAAAGGTTCTTCCGTGGTCGGCGAATTGGTCAAGAGGGGGTATACGTAACCACGAAATCTGCCATGCAGCACTGTGCTCGCCAATCTCCCGATGCCGTTGCTACATAACAAAGACTGATGCACTCTTTTAACGCCTCAGGGATCTTCAAACAAAGAAATGATTGACAGGATGGATTCTGGAATGAGTCAAAGATCAGTCAGCATGTCAGGGGCTGTAGCTAATGGGTCGATTCGCCATGTCACTGGCCTGTCACTGGGCGCCTCAACACCCGTCCCAGTTGTAAGCACTCAAAAGCCTAGCGCTTTAAAGACGAATACTAATAGCAAATACTCAGGTAGCCATTATTGGAGACACAGGGTCTGGGAAGACATCTTTGTTCGAAGCTCTTTCTGGTCTATCTCTTCATGACTCCCAGCTTTCGGCGACGAAATTCCCCATCCATGCCTGTTTTACGCACAGCAGCCGCACGGGCACGACCCTAAAGGCACGGATAAAACCAGGGAAAACTGATGGGCAGAATACGGAGCTCTCAGACCACTTACAAAGTTTTGAGGTGAACTATGAGGGAGACCTTGCTGCTGTCAATCTTCCTCAAATTGTGAATCAGGTTCGTACAGTCTTTTACTCTCGTTTTCCTGACACATTTGGCTAATCGAAGGACAAAAACATAGGCAACGAATCACATGCAGATCGCAACCGCATTCTCGGATGAGAAGGAACAAGAAGAACAACAAGTTTCCGACAATGTTCTTATCATTGAGATTTCGGGTCCAGACTTTTTCAGCATGGAGATCGTCGATACCCCTGGGCTATCATCTAGTAAGTGACACTTCCGTACTGTATGCCCAACTATGAGAGCTTACATGTACAGGCCCACTGGTTGATGACACACAGGAAATAACAAGATCTCTCATCATGGATCTCGTCAAGCAGCCCAACACCATCATCCTGTAAGTCTTATTTCACTGTCCTGAGGAGAATACTAACGAATTTTAGATCTGTCGTTGACGCAACGAGTGATATGAGCACTCAGGAGGGCCCGAGGCTTGCGCGAGCAGCTGACGTGGCCGGCAATCGCATCGTCGCAGTCGTAACCAAGTGCGACCTTGTACTCCCAGACGAGAGAAGATTCGTAAGTCCACGTCCTTCCAAACAAGCATAGCACGGAGACTGATAGCTACAGGTGTTGAGAGCTATGCGCAACAAGGAACGCCATCTCGGCCATCCCTGGTTCGCCACTAGAAGTCTCTCCAGCGATGAACGTCATCAAAATTGTACTCTTGAGAAGCGGATCTCTGTCGAAGACTCATTCTTTTCAGAAATGGAATGGGCCATTCTGAAACGCCGGCGGCGTGTCGGGGCTCCTGCTCTAAAGGACCATCTCAAGACTAGGGTGAACGTCATGCTCCGGGGGAGTATAGACCTACTCACGACAATACTCAACACACCATCTCATTCAGTTGCACCAACACGCGCCCCCAGTATCACAGAAAAGGTGCAGCCAACAAATGTCTACGCGACGTCACAAGAGACAGTAGTCGCAGACGTCGATCTAGAATTCGCTTCCGACGCACCCCGACCAACACCGCTTCTCAACGCTGTCATAGTCGGATTGACTGTTGCCATATGTCTCTGCCTCATAGGACTTGGCTGCAGCGCAATGGCACTAGAGGTTGCGAGCGAGGGACGTTGGTATCGTTTCTTTCTTCTGTTAACGGCTCTCCCTCAGATTATCCTGAGCTTGGTAAGAACAACATCCAAGAGTTACGCCGAGAACTCCTGCTGACTTTGTCCTAGTTCTTCTGTCAAGCTATCGTCGTGACTATCTTCCAGATGGTTGGCCCCGTCACGCAACTAAAAGTCAACTCCAAGTTTTACTCTGCAAAGCGAACGAAACGCCTTGATGGGACGAAAGTAGTCTTGCCGCACGTTACTATCCAATGTCCTGTTTACAAAGAAGGCCTTGAGGGTGTAATCAGACCAACAGTACAGTCGCTCAATGCCGCCATTCGCAATTATGAATCTTTCGGCGGCACAGCTAGTATCTTCATCAACGATGACGGTATGCAACTTGTGTCCCCAGAAGAAGCCGAGGAACGCCGCATGTTTTACAAAGAGAACAACATAGGCTGGGTTGCCCGACCAGGGCATAATGTAAACGGCGAAGGAATAAAGAGATTCATTCGCCGTGGAAAATTCAAGAAAGCCTCAAACATGAACTACGCTCTGGGTATCAGTCTCAAGGTTGAGGACAAGTTGGTGGAGATCGTCCGCGATGAGAAGTGGACTCAGGTTCACGAGAGTCAAGCATATCAGAAATGCCTCGATGAAGTCCTTGCCGAAGAGCTAGGCCGCGCCTGGGTAGGCGGTGACATCAGAGTCGGCGACTATCTCCTCCTCGTCGACTCCGACACCCGCGTCCCAACAGACTGTCTCATCGACGCAGTCAGCGAGCTCGAAGCCTCACCCCGCGTCGCAATTCTCCAGTTCACATCTGGTGTCATGAACGTCACGACGAGTTACTTCGAAAGCGGCATCACCTTCTTCACCAACCTCATCTACACCGCCATCACCTACGCCGTCGCCAACGGCGATGTCTCCCCCTTCGTCGGGCACAATGCGTTTATTCGTTGGTCTGCGCTGCAAGAGGTTGGCTCTCAAGATGGTGGGATAATCGACAACGAGAAGGACCCAAATGCCACAACGCCGTATGAGAAGTTCTGGTCCGAGTCTCACGTCTCAGAAGACTTTGATATTTCTCTACGTTTACAAACACTGGGTTATCATATTCGTCTGGGGGCTTATTGCGGCGACGGGTTCAAAGAGGGTGTTTCACTCACTGTTTACGACGAGTTGGCCCGGTGGGAAAAGTACGCGTACGGCTGTAGTGAGCTTCTCTTCTGGCCTATAAAAGACTGGTGGAGACACGGTATCTTCACGCCTCTATTCAAACGCTTCATATGGTCGAATATGCCGCTTGGGTCCAAGATCACCATCATGTCTTATATCGGCACATATTACGCTATCGGTTATTCGTGGATTGGCTCGCTGCTGAACTACTTCCTCATTGGATGGCTTAACGGAGAGCTGGATCACTACTACATGAGTAGTTGGCGCGTCTGGGTCGCTCTTGTGGTTGTCTTCTCTATAGCTGGCAACATTACCCTCGCGCTGATCAGGTACCGCTCTCAGCAGGTTAGTTTGCTTAAGGAACTTTGGACATGTTTCAAGTGGGTGGCTCTTATGTTTATTTTCCTGGGCGGTATATCGATGCATGTCTGCAAGGCCATTCTCTGCCACATGCTGTCGCTCGATATCAGCTGGGGCGCTACGTCTAAGGAAGTTGAAGATACTAATTTCTTCCAAGAGATCAGCATCATCATTGCAGGCTTCAAGTATGTCTTCATCTTCTGCTTGGCGGTGACCGCGTTGATGATATGTGGCGTCTATGCCTTTCCGTATTTATGGAGGATCGATGAGCTCGTTGCAATATTTCCCCTTGCAACTGTCATCTTCTGTCACTTTTTCCTCCCGATTGCTCTGAATCCGAACTTGATGAAGTTCACCTGGTAAATAGATAGATGATAGACTTTATAGAATAAAGGTTACGTATTATTCATCAACGGTGCATCCAGGATTTGCTAAAGAGTATCGTAATGGCGGTGACGTGGGTTTTAATGAGAAACACCGAATGTTTGTAACAGGTTACTGTGACAGCCGTGGCGTAGTCACTGTATCACGCGATACACAACCAATTCACGGTCTACGATCAACCGTCCACTAAGGCCAGGTGCAGCTGATTCACAAAGGGGTTTGTCTCGGCAGTTGCATTGGCAGTAATGTGCTGAACCACCAATCACTGAACAAATGTTGAACATGTCTGATTCATCAAGCGAATAGGTAACGACGCAGTGAGCATTTGTCTTAAACCACACTCTGACACAGATATGTTCGTGCTGAACAATTGCGAAACTGAGCCTCTCATCTAGTACATAAACCTCTCTTGAGCCGCTCAACTTGCATCAATCATTCCCAACTCTATCTCATCTCGCGCACACATGCAAAACCACTCACTACTACACTGCACACTCACAAACCTACAAACACCCAAAGAACTTTATCATGTGTTCTCAAACTCTTTCTCAACCTCTGGTCGACAACGCCATGCCAGGCACTCGTTGCCCAAAGTGCTCTACACCCGACAATGACGTTTGGGTCATTCCCGGCCGCAACTGCGGACATTGCGGCACCTATTGCGAATAGACAGCATGCCACCAACGTCGCAAGCTATTTCTGTGAGATGCGAACATGTCATAGGCGATCTTGAATGCTACCAAAAAGTCTCCTGGCCCTTGGTCAGTGGCTACGAATCGCAGTGGAAGAAACCATGGTATTCTACATTGATGGATCTCAGTTGCAGAAAACGGTCACAATGCCATGACATCAGGTAGAGGGTGTGGACCAAAATATACAAAACTCTAACAAATTATTATTCATCGCTACCCTTTACGTGATACCATGCTCCGTGATTAACAATACACCCTATCCCTGGACACCTGAGGTCGCCTCTCCCTGCAGAGCGAAAAGCTCCCGCTTCCAACCAAACCACTTCGTCATTCTCTTCCCCATAATGCGCAACAGAACCGGATCAATCTTATCAGCAGGATGCGGCTTGTGAAACACAATCCGTCCTCCATCCACAAGTTGCTTGAACGCAACTGCCGACCCGCCATTGTTCCTCGCCGTGAAACCCGCCTCAATCATGACGCGAACGAATCGATCCCATGTAACTTCTTTGGATACGTCGTCTTTTCTGGGGAACATGAGATGTATAACTCCTAGTGAATCCCTGGTCAGTGAGATGACGGCGTGCTTGGTGACCTCCTCTGCAGCTTCGTCTGGTGGTTCCGTGACATCACTGCCAGAAGAACACTGCTCTCCTCGTGTCTTAACCTTCTCTCGGCCTTGCGCTATCGTGGCCGATGTGGGGCTTGGATCAGGACCCTCGTTGAAAGCATCAGCAATAGGCTGTGATTCGTCTGCGGTGTTGATTGCAGAGAGGATCTCAACCTCAGCGCGTTGTTTTTCCTGGAGATACTCCTCACTAAGGTGCGCCGAAGCGACACCAAGAAGAGACTCAACCTCCTCAAGAGTATAGCCATTATCCCGCTGTGTTAACTGCTTTCTCAAGAATCCCCTAATCGCTTCCCAGAATTTCTCGTTTGCTGTGTATAGAGCCTGAGAATTCGAAAGCCACTCGACGCTTTTGGGGCCTGTTGGTGGTTTCACATGGTAGAAGTCTCTGGCGAATGCGATCCCGATGTCTTTGTACACGTCCATGTTGAATCCGAATGGTTGGGCCAACTTCCAAGACACACGATCCTCTGTAGCAATTACTTCCTCCGGCGCTCGGGCTGCATTCCGAGGCCTCTGTGACTGAACAGCTATGAGCATTTCGTGGCAAGTCGAAAGGTCAGAGAGTGTCTGGTGGGTGATCTCGTCAAGTCTCTTCGCCTCAGACGGGTTGTTGGACAGATGATCCTGGATCATGGCGAAGAGCATGGCGTGATCGAAGTGGCTCTGGTTGTCTGGCTTTCCCTGTAGCTGCACAAGGCACCAGTCGAGGGGGTCATCGTCAAGAGACTGCTGGGTATTTTGAGGCGTCCTTCGCTTGGTCGTGCCGACTGCATCGGATGGGGCATCAGACGGAATTTGGCTGGGGTCGAGTTCCCAGTGTTTCTGCATGCCTGGGATATGCGGCAATTGTTCCTCCAAAAAAAGGATCTTTTGCATGACCTGGCCAAGGAGCAGAAGCTCAAGGGCGCCGAGAGCCTTGTCGTATTTCGGGGGTAAGGGCATACCGGGATAAATACAATCGCTGAACCGCCTGCGAATTGTTTCAACATGGCTGCACTCCGATTCAATCCACTGCCAGCAACAGTAGGTCTGGAGTTCGAGGACAATTTGCTCGGGGATCATCATCGCTCTCTGATCCGCTGAAGCCTTCTTGAAGATCTCGGTCGCAGATATCATCTTGACATGTCTTTTCATGTACGCAGAGTCGCACTGCAGGTACCATAGGTGATCGCCAATATCATCCAGGCGAGACTTTGCGAGGCTGATGAGGTAATCGCCATTGAACGTCGGTGGACGTGAGAAGGCTTGGTTTGTGTAGGGAGACCAGAACTCCACTGCGCCTGTCTCTTTGAAAGCTTCGTGGCTGACAACGTCGTGCCACTTCTCGGCTCGTGGGGGCTGCAGAGGGTCTACTCCTTCAAGGACCTTGTCCACAATATTGCAGAGAACTTCGAGAAGATGCGCCTGGGCTTCGAGAACGAGTATGGCTCTGGGGTACCCGAGAGTATCACCACGATGCGCAGCCTTTGCTTCCCAGTCCACCAAAGATCCATATTCATCTCCGTACATGACGATGCATTTGGAACAGAAGTCGACGTCGAAGTTCCCATCTGCCCAACTGAAAGTGAGCTGTCTGTTGTCGAAGGTCGCCCAGGACTGGGGAGAGTAGGCGGTTCGGTAGTGAAGGAGAGCGAAAAGCACAGCAGGGTTGGTCTTGAGGACATGTACGTTGAGCCAGGGCAGTAAGAGTTGACGTCTCCGAATTGGACTTCTCTCGCGCATGTAAAGTCTCTCGCGCGTGTACGAATATCGCGGAATAAGCCACTGCTCCTCCTCAAGGTCGGGTGCTGCTTCTTTCAGCAAAGCCGCTCGTTTCGTCTGGCTTCGCTTCTTCCACCGACTCATCAAGACATCGCCAAAGACTTGGATTCGGTTGCTCAGTCGGTCTCGGCTGCGATGGATGCTTTGCGCGAGGGAACGCGCGTTACGCTCTGCGACGGCATCGGATAGTCTGAGGTGGTAAGAGTGTTGGGCGTGACGTTGTATCTGGACGGGGTAGAAGCTATTCTCGCAGTCGTGGCATTCGCATGGCGGTCGGCGGATGGATGCTTCGAGGGTTCTCTTTGTGAAACTGTATATCGGAGGATCTGGCTCCTGATCCTGGTGCAGGACGAAAGGGTTCATCTTGTCTGTGGATTGCTTGAGATGCTGCATGAGCTAGGTTGAGGTGTGTTGAGTTAAGATCTCGATTGAAAATTTCATTTTCGCAGATGCAGCCTCACGCGTCAGTCGCATCAAGGCGGGGGCCAATGATTCAGCCAAGACGACTTCGCAGTGCAACGCAGTGTAAGCATGTTTCCTGTCCCATAAGCCTGAACTGTTATCTATAATGTTTACTGAGTCTTGCAAGCAACAAACTTTAACGTAGTAGACCTAAATCCGCTGTGCTTTCAGGGAATACTGGTAGACAATGTACCATTATCCTGAAGTGGCCGCTTGAGACTTAACAATTCCTTATGATAGGTGGAGATATCTGCAAGGAGAGATTTCCACTTAAATCTTCCTTCTGGGACAGCGTCGGAAAACGCGAGGCAGGGAGCTTTGCTGGGTGGACCTGGAGGCTCAAGCAATCTTTGCAGGTTATCGGAAACCTCCTCAAGGGCTCGATCGACTGCACATACCAGTTCAACGCGGTCGGAGCTATTTTTCAATAGAAACTTCCTGCTATTCTCAAGAAGAACCTTGACAATTTCCGGATCTCCATGTTCAGCATAAGGCGATTTTCGCGTCTCTCGGCGGAGATCTTTCAGGTCGATGCTCTTGCCATGATGGAGAAGTAGCAGAAGTATGGGAATGTGGTAATAGCGGGCTGCATTTTCTAGTGGTGTATGGCCGTCACGCTCGTTTGAGTCGACTTGAGCCCCGTACTCGAGAAGCAGCTTGACCATTGCCATGTCCCCCCATTCGGAGGCTTCTGACAGTGGCGACGTGATCCGACATATAGACTTGAAGTGGGTATTGGCCCCATTTTCGAGCAGTAGTTGGACTGTGGTGATGCGATGCCTGGCTACCGCATGCCATAGAGCCGTGTAGGGCTCATCAAGATCCCAATTTACATCGGCACCTGCTTCAAGAAGTAGACAAATCACACCGTCATGTCCATTTTCAGACGCATATACTAGTGGGGTCCTCCGGAGACAGTCGGGGGTATCTGTCTTGACGTTGTTCGCAAGTAACAGTCTCGTACATTCTTCGTGACCATAAGCAGCTGCCAGCGATAGCGGAGTATTCCCCCCATTGTCCTGCAAGTCAGCCTTTGCACCACCGTCGAGAAGCAGGCTCATGACAGCCTCTTGGCCAGTTCGAGCTGCATAGAATATTGCTGTTCGACCGTAGCCATCCTTCAGTTCAACATCATTCGTAGACAGTAAAACTCGTGTTTCCGCTATGGCCCCAAAGAAGGCTGCAAGATGTAGCCCCCTTGCCCTCCTGTCGACACCTTTATCTTTCTTAGATGTCCATATAGCCAACTCGGGTCTCATACATACTTGGGCTGAGGATGCTACATTTGGAGCTGACTCAAGAAAGTCAACGACGCCCTCACAGATCGCCCCAGCATTGCGAGCGTGGAAAGCCCAGTTGTTCGCAGCGTAGAGATACAGCGGAGTTGGTTCTTTGAAGTCTGCGTCTTTTATAGGAGGCCCGATTTTGAAAATACGAAAGTTCAGATATGTAACACAGGTGGTCGTTATGTAGCTCTCAGCTTTGGGAAACCAGGTTTCCCGCGTCTTATCAAAGTATTCCTGTGTAGTGTAGTGGACCAGTCGGATGATGCTGTCACTTTTATCAACAGTAACGAGCCCAATACAGACTTGCAATATGATATCAGTGTCTGGGGACGCATCCATGTCAAGCTCTTCAGTACCGACCTCGACAGCAAGGGCGTGCCGGAGTTCTTGGATGGTAAGTGGTCTCCTTGCGCAGGTGATCCATGACAGCACTTGTATAGCCAAGTCCTTATGGCCTGGTTGCTGGCTTGTCACTCGCTCCATGGCTATGTAATATGCGTCATAGTATGCATCTGAGCCACTTGGTAGTTGTTTAAGAGCCTTGCGGACGGCAGCGACTGAAGTCTTGTCACGCAAGGAGTCAAGATGTAGTTGGGCCAAAAGGAACCTAAGAGTTTCAGCATTACGCTGGTGTCTCAAAAGACAAATCACTTACATTCCTTGCACTGAATTTACTATTTGGCTAGTAATATCTTCTTCAAGTCCTCGTTTGCTGAAGAACTCGGGCAATTGCGGTATCTGGCCACGGACAAACATGCGGACATCATCGTCTCTAGCACGTATTTCGAGAGAAACACAATTAGTAAATAGACGCATGAGATCGGGTATTGGTCTAGAAGTTGCAAAGATGTTGATTTGGCATTTTGATTGTAGATCAAAGATCTTGTTCAGGAACTTCGCCCCAGTACCATCAGTTGTCCGACATTCATCGAGAGCATCGATGACTACAAACACTCTCGAAAAGCGTTCAGCAACGCACAGGAGGGTTCTCGAAACGACCTCTAAAGAAGGCCGTGATCCAGCTCTGTGGAGTGATTCGAAACTCTCCGGTAAAGTTGGCATGGTTTGTAGAAGTTGCTTTAGAACGCTAGCAAGAAGCTCTATGACCGTCTGCTCTTTCTGGCGCCGAAAATTGCAATATACGTATGCAATACCAACATCACTTCTTTCTGCAAACAGTGTTTGCAAGCTGTCGATTACTATGGACGTGAGAATTGTTTTGCCGGCGCCTGGGATGCCTGGACAGAAGAGGGTCTGATTAGGGCTGTCCCGCCAATTACAAAACTGCGTTGAATTGAGAAGCCATTGGCCAGTTCCTGGCTGATGTCTCCCAATATTGTCACTCTGAAAGAGACTATAATCAGTCGGTGTGAGCCAGTCTAACACGTCTTTGTGTTGCTGGGTCAGATGGTGTCGAATGATGGTGTCAGCCTTTCTGGATGTAGCTGTGACCTCTTTCTGTAAGTCTGTGAGAACCATCACAGGTTAGCGATCGCAAAATAGTCAGAGAGTTGGTATGTCAACAACTAACCAGACAAAATCTCATTGATCTTCTTCCCAACTTCTGCCCTATTAGGATGGATCTGACTGAGAAGGTCCTTGGCATATGCAGAAGCCGCCATCGCTGCGTAGCCTTGCCAGTCGTCATTCTTGTGCGTATCGGCATAGTCGCAGACGCCACGAATAACCAGACACGGAAAGTGGTTCACCAGGCCTGCTGCTTCTGTTTCGAAGCAAAGGACACCTTTCTTCGCAAGTTTATCACGAACCGTAGCATCCTTCATCAGCTTGTCCGATGATGCGATGAGACCGTAGTGTATTGCCGGATTATCCTCTTCATTGGTCCTTTCGGGGCGTAATATTAAGCTTGATGGGTCTTGACTGCAAAGGTCACAGTTCAGACCATCACTCGGTTGGTGAAGCACCTCGGGTTGGTACAGTCGGTCAGTGCTTGCATCGGGCCGTCCATACTTTTTCCGCAGTCTTGGCTTTTTGTCCAAGGTTTCGTTGATGGCACGTTCAAGCTGATGCCCTTCGCCCTCATGTTCAGCGCTAAGTCCCTGCATAGCTACTCGCAAAATCATTGGCGCCTGATTCAGACATCCCGTCTCTTGAAATGGTTGATCTTGTATGACCTTGCCATGATCAAAATTGAATACACCACCATGCTTTCCGTTGTGAGAAGCACTCACGACGATATCCCCAAGACGGATGTCGTGCTTCGGACTGGGCGCGCCGGCGCCGATACCAACCATCAAGCCAATCCGAATATTGGGAAAGGTATGAAGCATGTCTCTTGCCACGGTAGCAGCAGGAGCTATACCATATTCTCCGTGGGGAAGGACGGCAATTACGCTGCTATGTTTCCCAATCTTGCCTAGAGTATAATGGTTATTATCATTGATTGATACAAACTCTGGAGGCTCGTGTTTTTCGTCCAGGAAGGCTATCGCAGCGACATATTCAACTCGAAGGGCACAAATCCAGCCCACTATATAGTCGTGCGGGTCTGACATGACGAGTAGTATTGCATCAAAATGTTTGCGATGAGAATTTCAAGGATGTTTGTGATTTTGGAACCCCGCTCCTGGGACAGCCTTATTTGGTCAGCCATCACTTTCTCGTCCTGATTCGCCCTTTAAGCGCCGAGGCAACAACTCTGACAACCATATCAGACAGTAGGACTTGGCTGCAAATGTACTAGCTTACGTTGGAGACATGAACATGGTTAGACACAAGCTCGATGCTTTCTCGATTTTCCATACACAATGTGATCCCATTTCTTCGAAATTCATCTAGAGATTTCATCTTACTTTGTATCATGAACCTCTGAAAGAGAATTTAATGGACGCGACCTTGTTTGTTATTGGGTATATGTGATCTTTGAGTACCTAAGTATATCTCCCCATTGTGTTGTTCAGGCGGCTTTCGCAACAGCTTTCTGGATGCCTTCCATTGACGTCTTTGCAGTTAAAATGCCACCGCGGGCTCGCAATGTGAAAAATAATGAGATCGCGCTCCTCTCCACAGCCTTCTTGAATGGGTCTCGATATGTTTTTTTTGACATGTCTCTTCGACAGTGAGATCAAACATTTACTCATCAGCAAAGTGCCGTAAGAAAATGGGCTTTGGTGCACTCAAGTCTGGAATTTGATCAGGTAATGGCTGTGAAGAAAGAGCAATTCAATTCTTTGACTATCAGCCACTCCATATTGTCCCCTTTCGCAAGATATCTAGGTAGTCTACAAGCTCACCGACAGCTAAAAATACAACGCTGCGGTACAGCAAGTTATCGAAGCGCGCGGTGTCATATACCTCTTGAAGCTGTGTGCTCACACCCTTTCCATAATCGAATTCCGACAGCAATGACTAAATATTCAGCTGCTGAAAATTCTGCACTCAATCTGTGTTGGCAAAAGCCTTCTGGATACCTTCCAACTCCTCTAAAGTCAGGGGAATAATCGTGCCATGACGAGGAGACTCGGGGTATTTGTAACCTGTTCGCAGTGTCCAGTTCCCACCAGCAAGATCACTTGACTCAAGTGGAACATAGCCATTACCGCCAAACTCATCAGCAAGCAGGATATACCTAGCACCATTGACATCCTTGCAGTTGGTCCTGAAGATCGAAGGGCCCTCCACCTCTTCCGTTCCTGCGTTCTTTCCGATACAGCTTGCTATCTGATGCCAGTCGTCCAAGCCCGCAGTCAACGAGGTACTGCTTTCCTGCACAATATCGGCACAGCCATTGATCGTAGCCTTTGTGAAACGATAGTAGACTCCATCTTCCTTGATAACCGTGGAGTCAATCCGACCATTCGGCGGTTCATCTTGCCAGATCTTTGGCTCACTGAACGTAACAAAGTCATCCGTGGTAGCGTATACCATACGCTGGTACTCGATGGGATCGTGATTGGGGTTTGCCTCATTGTCATATATGCCAGACGCCCAGTAGACAACATAGGTCTCGAGGTCGTCATCATAATAAGCCTCGGGTGCCCACGTATTGCCGTAATTATCCGGCGAAACCTCAACATGACGCTGGGCACTCCACGTGATGAGGTCCTTTGACTCCCAGATCTCGAGATATCGACTACCAAAGCGCTGAGCGTCACCCCAGCTCGTACCGCAGCCGATGCAAAGATCAGTCGCGAGGATATAGAATTTGTCTCCCTCATGCGACCTCAAGATGAAGGGGTCGCGGACTCCACCGTCGCCTTTAGTAGATGTCAAGATGGGCTTGCCATTGTTGAGCTCTGTGAAGGACAGGGCGTCATTCCCGTTGCTGGCAGCCAGATAAATGTTTTCATCACGGTTGCTGAAGTAGAGAAAGGCGTAGCCTTCATAGTTGGAGTTGCAGCTGATCTCTCTCTTGGCAAACTGCGGTCCAGCTGGTATGGCACCTGTAGGCGACGCAGACGTGAGCATCGGCAACGCCGCCAAAGCGCTGAGAATAGTGGTTGGATTGAGTATAGAAAGCATTGCCAAAGAAGATATAGTAAGATAGTTTGCTCTGATGAATTAGAATTGGAATTTGGAGTGAAGCATACGTGACTTCTTATAGTTCTACCTGCAGGAATGTCCAGTTTGCGCCATGACCTCGCTGTTGCAGATCGTTTCTCGATGAGAGTACAAGATTCTCAAGTTATGCATAAAAAGAACTAAGCTTAAGCCGAATGATTGGATCGCATAACTTGATCGCCATGACCCCATGTTACTCTTCCCCGCATTGGCCTTGTATTCTTATTCTAAGAGATCTCTGCTATTGCCGAGCAAATAGTATGTCTTCACGAGAATGGAGGTCTGATGGTCTACTAATCCGCACCAGTCTTAAAAGCTCCAGTCCAAAGCAGGAAAGAAAACTCGGGACCTCAAGCCTAAGCGATAAAGATATTTAGGTAAACCTAGCTCAAGTCCAGGAGACTCTTTGCTAAATATAGTTTAGTATCCTCGTCTCAAGTCTTGAGTTTTCCTGCTCCCTGAGGCCGGTAAAGATTTCTACACAGTGAGAAAGGCGTGCTAATAAACTGTTATAATACTAAGTTCTGTCTACTGATTTAAGCTCTTAGCCATAAGCCTTAACTGTAAATAATATATCTAGCTAATAACTTAGATATTATACTATAATAATTAACTAATTACTATAGCTAAAGGCTAATATTAAGAAAACCTAGATTATAACTTTTTAGCTAGCCTTAAAGGTATATAAAATAGTACTTTTAATTTATTAACTAAAAAAGGTTAGCTTAATACTATAACTACCTTAAATCTTTAAAATAGTAGCTTTTATATTAATAAAAATAGTTTTTTATTAATATTATTTAAACTAACTAAATATTTAAAACTATATTAATAGATTTACTATAATACTTTAAGTAATAGTAGCTTATAGTATAAAATCCCTTAAAAACTTTAACTAGTACTTTAATTATATTTAAGACCTAATTCTTAT